CCGTAAGGGGTTACGAATGCAGTCTTTTCTATTGACTCGGTGTGCATTGCAATCTGATGATAACCGGATTTGAAATCTAGACTAGTAAAATAACTACAATTCCTCAGCCTATCGATTAAATCTTCAATTCGGGGTAAAGGGTACTTTTCTTTAACCGTTATTGCATTGAGTGCTCTGTAATCTACACACAATCGCTTTTGGTCACTGTTTTTTTTTATTCACTAATATTACTGGACTAGCATATGATGATCGACTTTCCCTGATAATTTTGGCTTCGAGTAGTTCCGTTGTGATTTCTTTCAACTTATTTTTTTCAGATTCGGCCATCCTATAGGGGTTACGCGCTATTGGTTTATCTACTGATAGGTTGATTTTCATTGACTCACAATCAATTAGGCCTAAATTTTGAATGGAAGTTGAAATAATATTGCTATATTCAGCAAGGAGATGTTTTACTGTTCTATTTCCGATGATAGTATTATCTTCCTTTATTTTGAATAAGTTTTGTTTTGCGGGGAAAAACTGCAGTACATCTCCTATCCTACTATAACTAATGTCTTTATTTTCCGTGAAATTCCTACCAATGATGCACTCAAAATCAATATCTTCGTGCATTACATAAAGCATGCATGATAATGTTACTTCGCCAATGGTGACATTCGTATTGACTGATTCTTTGACTTCAACTCCATGGCCAAGGAACCCTGAAAGTATGACTGGACTTTCCAACTTCATAATGCTCAGTCCCAAATGTATTGCTGTGTTTAAGTTTATTATCGAGCAATCACTACCAAAATCGATGAAAGCTAGAAGTGTTTTGTTGTTCACTCTGATTTCGCGAATGAACTTATTTTTGTTTCCGACTGACACTATTTTAACATCAAACTTTTGACATTTTTCTGTTTTCGTACTATTTTGTTCTACCCTCTTTTTCTTGTGACATGCAGCTTCTAAATGACCTACTATACCACAATTATTACATTTTCGGTCTTTTATAATATTTCGACCCCTACATTCCCGTTTGAGATGACCTGTTTTTCCACAGCTATGACATACTATCTTATTTCTATGTTGTATTTGATTCTTATCCCCTTTTTCTCTGGAATTTGAATGTTGATTTGAACAAAATGAATTTGAATTAGTGTTCCATTTACTATTACTTGGTATCTCATGTGTTCGATCTTTCAAAAAGTTCGCCAACATATTTAAATTAACCATAGATGCAGCTTTGATTGAAGATGATACGGTCTCATCATTGATTGCCCCTAAGATAAGAGAAATTTTATCTGCCTCAGTGAAATTCACTTTCAATTTATTTATTTTAGCAAGATGGTCGAAGTGAAAAGAATACAATGATTCGCCACCTCGAGGTCGATGGTTAGCTATATCCATAAAGATACCATGAGTGTTTTTGTCGGACTGAAAAACATCGCTAAGTATTTCTTTCCATCTTGCCCAACTATAATTGGCCCATCCAATTTCTTCCTTTATATAATTATGATACCACTTTTCAGAAGTACCCTTAAGTTTATTCAAAGCCTGATATTTTGTTGTGCCTTCGTCCCAATGATAGCAAAGAGCATGCTCGTCAATTATTTTTATCCATTCTTGTACATTATCTTTTCTTGGATCAAAGTCTGGTATAACTTTAGCTAACACATTACTATTAGTTCGTTCACGCAGTGAATTCATTGCAGTACTCACCCCTACCTCTATCAGCTGTCGATCTGATAACCTCCTTCTGTTTCTTTCATCTTTTCTTGCTCGTTTATTCTTCCTTCTATGTCTCCTGTGGCCCCTAGACGAGTCCGACGAACTTGAGCCTGAAGAACTTGAGCTTGTGGAACTTGAACTCGAGGAACTACTGGAACTCGGAGTTCTCCTACGCCTCCGCGGCATTTTCGAACTTTGAGTAATCCAAAAACACTCCAGAAAAAAAAATCGATTCCACTTCTGATATGTTAAAGGGGGAACAACTGAGAAGCTGCTTAAATAATATCCACGTCTCAAATATCAAGTTTATATTCTAGCACAATAACACCTTTACAGGTCTCTAGTCTCAACTCTACTGGTCATCCTAACTATTCCCTGTCACCCTCTCTTATCTAGCTTATGTAACTCCTTAATCATGCATTCAATATCTCTTAGTCATAAAACCAGCACCCGTCGATATTCTAAACATAATACGGGGTGATGGTACTGAATCACACAACATATATAATAATAATGATAATATAATAATAATAATAATATAATACTATAGTGATTAATGTAATTTGGTGGGTATCTCTGGAGTGTTTCTAACATAATGCAGTATGAAGTATTTCGATTCGGCACTGTAAAATAATATAGATTTTTTTTAAACAAATTGAATCGTCCGTACGCGATGAAATCTAATATACGACTGACGAATGACAGGTGGCTTACTGATTCATCATCCTGATTACTAATTAGTTACGTCACACTCTTCTAACCGATTCCTGAACAATAAAATGTTATCTATGACTAAAGGACCCCGCACTTTTTCCATACAGTGTGTCCCACTTACCATGCTCACCATGGGTATCTTTTTAACGGTGAGAGATACGAAGTCGGTTAAATGACACCAAATGTGGAGTTTGTCAAGGCCAACTATAATGTGAAAAAATATTTTGATAAAATCTATTCGTTTTTGTTTTATACGCAAAAAACACAATTCGATCATTTCCATGTCTCCTCCGTAGCTTCTTTATTTATGAAAATATTCAAATAGGAATCTCACATTCTCACGGCAGTTTTTCAAAGTGATTTCGGAAATAATATGAAATTTATACCAACTTTTCTAGAATTTGAGATATCAGCACCAACTTTAGTTTATCAAATGTAGGTCATAGCTCACTATGACTTAGTTACAAATAACTTTTTTTTCTCTTACAGATGATATGTCGCAGTAATAAATTTGTGTAGATAACAACGGAGTTATCGTCATTTATACAAAAACAAAAAATTATTTGGAAGCCGCCATCTTGAATTTATAAATTTTAACAAAAAATCATGATCTCCGGCCTCAAAAACCCCCAGTTACCAATTTTGAATTGAATCGGACCAAATCTTGTCCGCCATCTTGGAGCAGCCATTTTTTTTTAATTTCAACAAAAATTCCATAATGAATTGTCACCGGATTTACGAACATCTGCCAAATTTCAAGTTGATAGGACGGCCAGAAGTGAGTCAAAATTCACTTGCAACATTTGATTACAGATAGAAATTAAAAAAAAATGGCTGCTCCAAGATGGCGGACAAGATTTGGTCCGATTCCATTCAAAATTGGTAAGTGGGGGTTTTTGAGGTCGGAGATCATGAGTTTTTTGTTAAAATTCATAAATTCAAGATGGCACCTTCCAAATAATTTTTTGTTTTTGTATAAATGACGATAACTCCGTTGTTATCAACACAAAACTATTACTGCGACATATCATCTGTAAGAGAAAAAAAAGTTATTTGTAACTAAGTCATAGTGAGCTATGACCTACATTTGAAAAACTAAAGTTGGTGCTGATATCTCAAATTCTAGAAGAGTTGGTATAAATTTCATATCTTTTTCGAAATCACTTTGAAAAACTGCAATGAGAATGTGAAATTCCTATTTGAATATTTTCATTAATAAACAAGTTATGAAGGAGACATAAAAATGATCAAAATCTGTTTTTTGCGTATAAAACAAAAACGAATAGATTTTATCAAAATATTTTTTCACATTATAGTTGGCCTTGACAAACTCCACATTTGGTGTCATTTAACCGACCTCGTATCTCTCACCGTTAAAAAGATACCCATGGTGAGCATGGTAAGTGGGACACACTGTATATGAAAAACTAGTCATAGCAAGGAGCTGAAAATTCTTCATCTCATTGAGGTATTATTACTTAGAATATTAATGATATTCTGATCCATTTGTCTTTTCTTGGAGATATGGGAAGATGAAAAGGGGGCATTTCTTTACTTCAACACCCTGTATCTCAAAAACTGGTCATAGGATCAGATTAGGACTCGGCATATTTGATCATCAGGTCGAGTTCTATAATATACCAGAAATTCAGGAAATTCGACAGAACGCCATTTTTATATAGAAAAAGTGCGGGGTCCTTTGATACGGAATTCAAGATTCAGAATTCTGATCACCCTGTATCTGTATCGATTAAATATCAGTAAATAGTACATCAAGAGTTGAGACACGGACATGTGAGCCGTTTATTTGGCCGATACAAAATCGAAGACTGAAGTTGAAAAATCTCGATTTTGAACACCCTATATCTCTGTAATCATTTCCGATAGACCCCAAGTGTGATGTATCGATGAAATCAGCTCTTCAGGAAGAATCTAAAAATTCAATAAAATACAGGGTATTCCGTTTGAAATAACAAAGTTGTTGCTACTTTTTGATAGAAGCGGCAACACTGCATTGCTGAAAATATTTCAAATGAGGAGAGCTCATTCTAAAATATGAACTTGCATATCTTTATTAATTTCTCCCGACTGATTCTCGATATAAAGGTAGTGTCAGCCAGTTGTGACATACCCTGTACACAGAGAACAGCAAACTAAATGAATTTTAAATATAGAATACCCATGGCAAATGTAAAAACTTCACAAACGATAAGATTTCCACAAAATTTTCAGAGATTTCAAAAATTGTCGCGAACGTCATAAAACGTGAATGACTCTGTGTATTCAATTCTTCCCATAATGAATCGGGGCAAATTGACATTAAAAATCGATCAGTTCCAGGAAATTTTTCAGAAAGTTGTAGTTTGGCTAAAATAAATTCATGAATAACAGTGTGGAAATCTGTTTTGATGGTGAAGAAGGAATCCATATTTTCTTGCTGCTCCCTGTATACCTCCAATATGTATCTGTTGATACAAGAAGGAAGGAAACCCGCTGAAAATGAAAGTTCTAGTGGGTGATGAAAAGTAAGTCACTCGGTACAAATCACTTTTTCCTCCAGATTTTTCCGAACCTCATCGTATATTGAAATCGGTAACGGCAACCGAATATCGTGACACGACCTGTTCGAGCCATTCGTAATGCGAGGCCACCCTCGTATACAGGGCGCTCAGTTGAATGTTGCATCCCTCTTCAGTCTTACTGGTTACGCTGACAATGCCGTGGACGTAGTAACGTTCGTCTCGATAATTACGGAAAACCAATCCACCCCCGCTATCACCCTTGCACACGGATACACCTGAAAAATTAGGTTGATCTCTGAAAAAATTGCGTACTTACTACGCCGCTGATCGTGTTGAAGAAATAACGAAATTTATGGAATTTCATATTTTTGACCCCTGAAAAAAAAAAATTGGGTACGCCCTAAAATCGTCATTGCTCTTTTATATCAACGTTTGTTTATAAAATCACGAAATTCCATTTTCGAAATTTCATATCCCCCCAGAAAAAAATTCAGTACGCCCCTGAAATTGCCATTCTTCTTCGTTCTCTATCAACATGAAGAAATCTCGAAATTCTAAGTTGGAAATTTTAGACCCCCTCAGAAAAATATTAGGTACGCTTCTGAACAATTTCTGAATCGGAATCGAATTCTATCAAATTAATTACTAAATGTATGGGATTTTATATTTTTAACCCCTGAAAAAAAAATTGGGTGCGCCCTAAAATCTCCATTGCTCTTTTATATCAGCCTTCGTTGATAAAATCTCGAAATTCCATTTTTGAAACTTTATATCCCCTCAGAAAAAACTTCAGTACGCCCCTGAAATTGCCATTCTTCTTCTTTCTCTATCAACATGAAGAAATCTCGAAACTCTAAGTTGGAGATTTTAGACCCCCTCAGAAAAATATTAGGTACGCATCTGAACAATTTCTGAATTGGAATCGAATCCTGTTGAATTGATTACTAAATGTATGGGATTTTATATTTTCAACCCCTGAAAAAAAAATTGGGTACGCCCTAAAATCTCCATTGCTCTTTTATATCAACGTTTGTTGATAAATTCTCGAAATTCTATTATTGAAATTTCGTATACCCTCAGAAAAAATTCAGCTCGTCCCTGAAATTGCCATTTTTCTTCTTTCTCTATGAACATGAAGAAATCTCGAAATTCCAACTTGGAAATTTTAGACCCCCTCAGAAAAATATTAGGTACGCTTCTGAACAATTTCCGAATCAGAATCGAATCCTATTGAATTAATTACTAAATTTATGGGATTTTATATTTTGAACCCCTGAAAAAAAAATTGGGTACGCCCTAAAATCTCCATTGCTCTTTTATATCAACGTTTGTTGATAAATTCTCGAAATTCCATTATTGAAATTTCGTATACCCTCAGAAAAAATTCAGCTCGTCCCTGAAATTGCCATTTTTCTTCTTTCTCTATGAACATGAAGAAATCTCGAAATTCCAACTTGGAAATTTTAGACCCCCTCAGAAAAATATTAGGTACGCTTCTGAACAATTTCCGAATCAGAATCGAATCCTATTGAATTAATTACTAAATTTATGGGATTTTATATTTTGAACCCCTGAAAAAAAAATTGGGTACGCCCTAAAATCTCCATTGCTCTTTTATATCAACGTTTGTTGATAAATTCTCGAAATTCCATTATTGAAATTTCGTATACCCTCAGAAAAAATTCAGCTCGTCCCTGAAATTGCCATTTTTCTTCTTTCTCTATGAACATGAAGAAATCTCGAAATTCCAACTTGGAAATTTTAGACCCCCTCAGAAAAATATTAGGTACGCTTCTGAACAATTTCCGAATCAGAATCGAATCCTATTGAATTAATTACTAAATTTATGGGATTTTATATTTTGAACCCCTGAAAAAAAAATTGGGTACGCCCTAAAATCTCCATTGCTCTTTTATATCAACGTTTGTTGATAAATTCTCGAAATTCCATTATTGAAATTTCGTATACCCTCAGAAAAAATTCAGCTCGTCCCTGAAATTGCCATTTTTCTTCTTTCTCTATGAACATGAAGAAATCTCGAAATTCCAACTTGGAAATTTTAGACCCCCTCAGAAAAATATTAGGTACGCTTCTGAACAATTTCCGAATCAGAATCGAATCCTATTGAATTAATTACTAAATTTATGGGATTTTATATTTTGAACCCCTGAAAATAAAATTGAGAGCGCCCTAAAATCGCCATTGCTCTTTTATATCAGCGTTCGTTGATAAAGTCTCGAAATTCCATTTTTGAAATTTCATATCCCCTCAGAAAAAATTCAGTACGCCCCTGAAATTGCCATTCTTCTTCTTTCTCTATCAACATAAAGAAATCTCGAAATTCCAACTTGGAGATTTTAGACCCCCTCAGAAGAATATTAGGTACGCTTCTGAACAATTTCCGAATCTGAATCGAATCCTATTGAATTAATTACTAAATTTATGTGATTTTATATTTTTAACCCCTGAAAAAAAATTGGGTGCGCCCTGAAATCGCCATTGCTCTTTTATATTAGCGTTCTTTGATAAAATATCGAAATTCTATTTATGAAATTTCATATTCCCACAGAAAAAATCCAGTACGCCCCTTAGGTTGCCATTCTTCTTCTTTCTCTATCATCATGAAGGAATCTCGAAATTCCAAGTTAGAGATTTTAGACCCCCTCAGAAAAATATTAGGTACGCTTCTGAACAATTTCTGAATCTCTATCGAATCCTGTTGAATTAATTACAAAATTTATGGGATTTTATATTTTCCACCCCTGAAAAAAAATTGACTGAAATATGCCTTTTGTATTGTTTCCCTCCAAAAATTTCTTATTTCGCCCCCTTTGGAAGAATTAATACGACCCGGAAAGTCCTGATTTCGATTTTCCATCGATCACTTGATTCCACACACCCCATCCGAAAAAAATTGAGTGATTGACGAGGTTTCGATTTTTGACACCCTCGGAAAAAATGTGAAATATCCAAAAATAGGGATAGCAATTTTCAAAATCCCAGAGATATGTAATAATACCAGTGTTTTTCCACTTACTCACTTTCATTTTTAAGTCCTGCGCAAAATTTGTCGTAAGTCAAATATTTGCGTGCAAAATCGTGGGGAAGTTCTTCATTGCAAGTGGCGTCATCTTTAAATGGAACGATCATTTCTTTCAACTCCTCAGAAGGACTTCCGCCAGCCAAAGTATATCCCCAACCTGTTACCTGAAAAAAAAAAAAATAGTAGTTCAAGTAGTGAAATATTAGCACCTCCGAAATCAGTACATTCCATGTTGTGTATTTATCAACACACTATTATAATTTAATTTTCTACCTCCATTTAGTTTGGCTATCTATAAAAAGGTGTTTCTCTAGTTTTTTTGAACTACTGTCAATTTTCTATTCATTAGTTCGGCTAACTACAGAAGTGTTATATTCATTGTCAGTACCCAATTTTGACGACAGAATCATAATCTCCTACCCTAAAAACCCCCAGATACTATTTTTTATAGATTCGGATCATGATTACAAAACCCGTCCGCCATATTGAATCTTCCAATTTTGACAAAAACATAATCTCCGACCCCGAAAACTTCCAGATGCCAATTTTTAATAGAGTCGGATCATAATTAATGAATTCGTATGCCGTATTGGATCTGCCATCTCGAATTTCCAAAATTTTACGAAGAATCATAATCTCCGAACCCAAAAATCCTCAGATTTTTTTCGAGAAACGAACTGTTTTTGAAATAATTGAGCATATACGTTCTGAAACATGTTAATTTTGCCTATGTTTCGCTTAAATTTCATTTAACTGAAAAAAAAACCTCGACTTTCTTCCCTTCGTATTTCCGTAATTGATCCAGATTGGACTAGTGATTGCAATTTTAGTGAGTACATTTCATTATATTCTGAACGAATTTGGTCAAAGAATAGAATTTAAGCGAAACATAGGCAAAATTAACATGTCTTAGAACGTATATGCTCATTTATCTCAAAAACGGTTCGTTTTCTCGAAAAGAAGTAGAAAACAAAAAAGGCTCTAAATTGAACGATCCACACAATTTGATCAGTGAAAGATGCCAGAGGCGTACGACGAAAAATTTTGGGGGGATAAAGAAGCTTCTACCCACAAAAACCAATCACCCTGTAGATTTTGAGAATCTTCGAATAGCTTGAAATTATGATCTTTTAGGAAGTATTGACCACACCAAATTTCCGAATGAAATCTCAAAAAGTAAGCGAGATATTTCAGTTAATAGAACAAAATTATTGAACTCGGACTAATGTTTATATGAACTTATCCGATTGAAATGATGAGATCTATCTCCCATTACAGTTTGTGCCTCAAAACCTGAATCACCCTGTATATCATATCATATATACGGTGAAGCTAATAAAAGGGTATTAAAAAAAATCGATTTACAAAAACTGTTTAATTGATATACTTACTATTCCTTCTGAGCCAATGTTGAGGGGGATATGCTTCAGATTGCTGTAGCATACAGGTTGAGCTACTCTTGATAACAACAAAATGTCTTTGGTGATCAAGAAGGCTATATCAGACGCATAATGTTGAGCATCGCTCTTGAAATTCTTGTGCACCAACATTTTCTCTACCTAAAAATAATTAGGTATGTATTACTTTGATTCAGGGTTGCGACGATTTAAACCAACGGATTTTTCTCAGTTCCAATTGTGATTTGAATCAAATAATTCGAATATCATAAATTGCTCTAAAAACAATTCACGGTGGCCCGCTACCGAAAATTTCCAGTAGTTAAATCTAATAAAAATGAGTGATTTTAAACTTCATTATTTCCATATTCAAGGAAAAATCAGTGTAAATCAAATAAATCAGTATGAATGAAAAATCACGATTTATAATAAACTAGCAGACCTCGCAAATGTTGTATTTTGCTATATACATCATTTCTATAATATATTTCTTCAGTTCAATATTCATCAAGACACTATTATTATTTTATACTTCTTTTTATTTTCGCTATCTATAAAAGCGTGTTTCTTTTTAGTTCACTTGAATTTTCCAATTTTGACGAAAGAATCATAATATCCGACTCCTAAAACCCCAGATGAAAATTTTGAATAGAATCGGAACATGACTACAAAACTCGTCCGCAATATTGGATCTACCATCTTGAATTCCCTTATTTTGACGAAGAAATCATAATTTTTTATCCCGAAAACGCCCACTTACAAATTTGGAATAGAATCGGTATATAATTACAAAACTCGTCCGGTATATTGATTCCACCGTCTATAATTTCCAAATCCCGCCCTTTCCAAATTTTGACAAAAGAATCATTATCTCAGACCCCGAAAACACCGAGATAACAATTTGGAAGAGAGTCGGATCATAATTATTACAATACTCGTCCGCCATATTGGGTCCGCCATCTTGAATTTCCTGATTTTGACGAAAGAATCATAATCCCCGACCCCGAGAACCACCAGATACCAAATTTGAATGAAATCGAATCCTAATTACAAAATCCGCCATTTTGTATCCGCCATCTCGAATTTCTTAATTTTGACGGAGGAATCATAATCCTCGATCACGAAAACCCCTAGGTACCAATTTTGGAAAGAATCGGATTATAATTACAAAACTCGTCCGCCATATTGGTTCCACCATCTTGAATTTCCAAATTCCGCCTGAATTTTCAAATTCTGACGAAAGAATCATAATCTCCGACCCCGAAAACCCTTAGATACCAATTTTGAATAGAACCGGACCATAATTACAAAACTCGTCCGATATATTAGATCCGCCATCTTGAATTTCCTAATGGTACCGGGATAAAAAGTATCCTATAACCTTCTCCTGGTTCTAAGCTACCTTCCCCTCAATTTTCAGCAAAATTGATCCAGTAGTTTCGGAGCCTATTCAATACAAACAAATGAACAAAAAATCAAATCGTTCCTCTTTATAATATTAGTATACAGGGTAGGGTGTATCTGAATTACACCGAAAAAGCTCAAGGGGTGGTTCCTTGTGATATTTCAGGAAATGAAGTTCATTTAAACATGTGTCCTGACTTGCTTCGTTTTCGAGATACAGGGTATTAATATTTCCATGAAAACTCTTTTTTCTATTCATTTCTCAATTGCCTTCTCATCAATTTAACGTTGTGGTTTTGTTAATAGTAATATGGACCTTCTTCTAGTGCAATTATATTCGAGATAATATTTCCAGTGGCGTAACAGTGGGAAAATTTATCGATATTTATGATGAATGTCATTGTTACGCCACGTCTCATATTTTTATTAGATTGAACTATTGAAATAATAACTTTTTTATCCACTGTGTGATTTTTGTATCTAGCTTAGTTTTTGAGGAAACAATTAAAATTAGATTTGACTCCAAATTTAAACGAAGGCGTTTTCAAGACTTCCATTGAGATTACTTAATAACCCCAATTAGAATCATTTTGAAATTTTGGGTCTTTCCCAATCTCCATCCATACTGAATTTTGGCACCATGAAAGCTCATACAGGAGGGTTATAAATAAAAACAATTAATACTTTCAACTTCAACATCCTGTATCTCAAAAACGGAGCTAGTTAGGACACATGTTCATATGAACTTCATTTGCTAGAATGTTACAAGGATTTTGATTGATTGATTTTTGTCGGTGTTATTTAGATACTCCCTGTATATAGATATAATGATTTATAATAATTCTCAAGATTTAATAAGACAAGCTGATCAGACCCTTTGATTATTTCGAAAAAACGTAATTTTTCACAACTTTGCTTTTAATTCAACATTCAACATACTTACATCTGAGTATTGAGCCTGAGAATCCCGCTCATCTTTATAGTAATTATAGAATTTTCCCACTCCCACGTTTACAAGGGAAGGAGATATGGCTTTTCCGTTTTGATCAGTTACACAATGGGCAGCTGAAAAAATTGTTTGCATATTAATAATTGGACAAAAGCAATGTTTCATGACCGTAAATCATCGAGAAAATAATCCATCAGAACAGTGATTCATCATAATCGTATTTCATCAATACATCATTTCATCATAACCCTATATAATAATAATAATACTAATAATAAATTGCCATTATTGCTCTTGCAATGTACATATCACAATACAAGTAAACTGTTGAGAGGCGAAGTCTAGCTTACATTATTCTAACTTAACCTCTCCCAATAAACAGGGACTCACAATAATGGATTTCTTAAACATATGGTAACTGAATTGAATATATTTATACTTATAATTACATCAATACAGGAATTCTTCAACATTACATTTCACTCATCGATTATTGTGAATGGAATAGCGATAATTCGCGTGGATTTCCGCCGTTTTCTGGCACTTTCGGCCGTCCGAAGATGGCTCGGTGACTATATCGTATGAGTCTTAGGTTGGAAAATGAAAATTTTCATTTGGCCTATTAAAAATCTGAAAAAATTCACATAGACTAATTCAATTTCTAAATGAATGAATCCGTGATGGAAATCGGGTAATTTTGAAAAATGGAGACGTAGTAGCCTACCGGAGTGCTTCTTTTGGCAATAAAAGCGAAAAGTTGACTTTGAGCGTCGATATCTCAAAAACTATCTGTCCTATCGGGCTGATTATAGTCTCTTTCGATTCAGCGTGTCATTTTCTACTGGAAAATCAATAATTCGCGTGGATTCCCGCCGTTTTCTGGCACTTTCGGCCGTCCGAAGATGGCTCGGTGACTTTATCTTATGGAAGTCTTAGGTGAGAAAATGAAAATTTTCATTTGGCCTATTAAACATCTGAAAAAATTCACATAGACTAGTTCAATGTCGAAATGAATGAATCCGTGATGGAAATCGGGTAATTTTGAAAAATGGAGACGTAGTAGCCTACCGGAGTGCTTCTCTTGGCAATAAAAGCGAAAAGTTGACTTTGAGCGTCGATATCTCAAAAACTATCTGTCCTATCGGGCTGATTATGGTCTCATTCGATTCAGCGTGTCATTTTCTACTGGAGAAGCGATAATTCGAGTGGATTCCCGCCGTTTTCTGGCACTTTCGGCCGTCCGAAGATGGCTCGGTGACTTTATCTTATGGAAGTCTTAGGTGAGAAAATGAAAAAATCTGAAAAAAATCACATAGACTAATTCAATGTCGAAATGAACGAATCCATGATGGAAATCGGGTAATTTTGAAAAATGGAGACGTAGTAGCCTACCGGAGTGCTTCTTTTGGCAATAAAAGCGAAAAGTTGACTTTGAGCGTCGATATCTCAAAAACTATCTGTCCTATCGGGCTGATTATGGTCTCATCCGATTCAACGTGTCATTTTCTACTGGAAAATCGATAATTCGCGTGGATTCTCGCCGTATTCTGGCACTTTCGGCCGTCCGAAGATGGCTCGGTGACTTTATCGTATGGAAGTCTTAGGTGAGAAAATGAAAATTTTTATTTGGCCTATTGATAATCTGAAAAAATTCACATAGACTAAGTTGATGTCGAAATGAACGAATCTGTGGTGGAAATCGGGAAATTTCGAAAAATAGAGACGTAGTAGCCTACCGGAGTGCTTCTTTTGGCAATAAAAGCGAAAAGTTGACTTTGAGCGTCGATATCTCAAAAACTATCTGTCCTATCGGGCTGATTATGGTCTCATTCGATTCAGCGTGTCATTTTCTACTGGAAAATCAATAATTCGCGTGGATTTTTGCCGTTCTCTGGCACTTTCGGCCGTCCGAAGATGGCTCGGTGACTTTATCGTATGGAAGTCTTAGGTGAGAAAATGAAAATTTTTATTTGGCCTATTGAAAATCTGAAAAGATTCACATAGACTAATTCGATGTCGAAATGAACGAATCTGTGGTGGAAATCGGGAAATTTCGGATAACGGAGACGTAGTAGCCTACCGGAGAGCTCCTATTGGCAATACAAGCGAAAAGCTGACTTAGAGCGCCGATATCTCAAAAACTATCTGTCCTATCGGGCTGATCATGGTGTCATTCGATTCAGCTTGCCATTTTCTACTACAAAAGCGATAACCACAATGATGTATCCAATCGATACAGGAACTCTTCAAACTATTGATCGTCAGGAAAGTATTTCAACGAAATGATCAATAATAACAGGCTTCCATCTAAACGATAATTCATTAGAACTTTAAATACATCATAACAGTACTAAATCGATACAGAGATTCAACTTATCTATATTTACCTGTTAGTACGACCTTCTGTGACAGCATGGAACCTCCGCATACATTAATAAAAGAACCGTTGATAAATTGAAAAATTGCTGTGACCCAAGGGTAGTTTCCTCTAACGACAGTTTGTCCGTTCACTATCAAAGGTTCGTTAGACACCCTCTCCTCTCCACACACTGAAAATTGGCAAAATAAAAATGATGTGAGAAAAAAAAATTGTCAGGCTTACTGGAGAGTGATTTCCTGCACAGCTATTTCTCGAGTCCTCAAACGTTATAGGTGCTCACCAGGATGAACAGAAGATGGTGTAGAAACTCCTATCAAATCCCATCTACTGTTTTTCGGTCAAAGTTCTTGACCTCTACGGCCTACTTGATAGAAGGATTCTTTTCAATATCGCGGTATCTAGGTCACATTTTACCCGTTAGATGGCGAAATCTCAACCAAAATTCAAGTTTGCTAGAGCTGATGATAATTCAAATTCCCCAAAATTACAGTTTCGTACTTTCAAATTTAATCTCATTTGGTTTGAGGTTATGTTATGAATGTTATGATATTATTATTTCTGGAAGAAATCTGTAAAAAGTTTCGCCATCTTGCGGACAACGGAGAACTAATATGCCATATTATTGCCGAATCTGCGGTCAAGCGTTTAGTGAGAAACAAAACACTGTCTGTGATTACACCATATTCTATCCACCTTGGTGCCGACATAAAGAACACTAGAGTGATCCAGCTATTTATTTGAAATATAGTCGGGATGACCAAAGTATTTCGCGCTCGAGTTGCAAACAAATTTTTTTCTACAAAAACGTCAAAAAATATAGTTCTATAGTGAAAATATGCTTAGCTTGATATAAAAAATAGTGTTGAACTGGCTTAAAAGGTCTCCCCCTATCCTCCCTAGGTATACGAACGATGTTCCACGAACATAATAGGAATTTCCTTTCGTGCGCTCCAAGAGAAAAAACAAAGTTATTGTTGAACATTCAGAAGTAAATGAGTTTGTGGATGTCTGCTCAATTGAGGACCATAAAGTTGAAATATAAATATCTCATATATTTTACATAACAATGCGCGAACTAGGTACTTCGCGCACTGTTTTACTTCGCGCATTGTTTTGTGCAAGGTATCATGGTAACGTAGGAAACTGAAAAAAAGTGTCACTTCGCAATTTGTTATCAATGCGCGAACCTTGTCATTTTTTGACGTTTGTAGAAAAATTGTATTTTTATGGTTGAAAATGGCTGGAAAATTTACTGGACATCAGGTTACTGCGATGAGGGTTCAATACCCCAAAGAAGTTCATTGAAATAAAGTAATTTAAGATGCGAAAAATAAACTCTCAATTGTAACCGTGGAAAAAAATAGATAGTTTGAATATTGCTTTATTGAAAACTTATGTAAACATAACAGGAAACTACAAATATTGCTCAAATACAAAAATTGCTCAAAAGGGCCACAGTTTCGGGTTTTTGGTATATATCAGTCTAATCGTAATAATAATGATAATAATGAACATTCACATCACTAAACTCCCTAATCAGTATTATATTATAATGCTAATATTGTCCATATTGTGTATTTATTTCACTCTATTCGTCTTCAATCAAACTTGTTAATGTAGAGTCGACGCAAAAATGAAACGATATTTTCCTTCAAATTTAAATCGCAAATACTGAACAATCACTCATCGGGATAAATGATGACGTCATTGCTGGTGAGCTGTTCCACATCCTTGAACCCTCTGTAGATACCCTCATCAGCAGAAACCGAAGCGGAGCCGCTTTTATAGTAATAATTGTGAAAATGAAGATGAACGTCGATGTTGATGATAATCGGTTGACTCTGACCTGGTATACAGTGCGGCGCAGGATAATTCCACATCCCGTTGTACAAGCAATACCGGGTGGCGTTATTGTGGTCGTACGACTCGTAATACGTGGCACATTCAAAAGTGGCGGAATCGCCGCCTGTAGCTTGATCGCACTTGATTTCGATCACGTTATCCTTGTAGCAGTGGACTTTGGTGGTGGGTGTGTCATACAAGGTAGGACAAAGTACTGAAAAGAAGAAAAGAAAATAAGGTTATACAGGGTGTTTCCCAAGTATGTGTAGAAAATTCAGGAGCATGTTGCTGACATGAAAATAAGAAGAAAAGTTCGTATTGATATATGTCCGAAAGTTCTTCGTTTCTGAGATACAGAGTGTCAAAGTTGAATTCTTATTTTTGTACTAGATTAATAAATCTCGAAATAATTGTGATATTCGAATAAAGTTTGGTATACAGGGGTATTTCTCAATGACACTATCAAATTTTATGTTGGTTTGTCTCTTTCGTAGGGGTGGCGCCACCTACATGTCTATTGAGTCTTTTGAAAAGTCATAACTTTTTTGTGCGCACCTTTATCACGTTCTGTCTCTAAGTTATTTGTTCAATAAATAAATAATAAATAAATGAATGAATAAATAATGACACACCCTGTATATTCTGCGATTCTGTGTATAAGATGACGTGTACTTACACAAGCAAGTCGGTGGTTCTCCTGTCCAGCCATTGTCGAGGCAGGCCATCAGATTGCTTTCTTTGGACAACTTGTAACCCTTTTCGCAGGTGAAGGTCAAAAAGGTGTTGACTGCCACTTTCATTCCCGGTACCTGCCCAGAATCGCTGCCTGCGATCTGCCATTTGCCTCTATAAGGCTGTTCCGGTAACGTGCAACCCCTTGAAAGGAAATCAAAATTGAAAATAATCCATAGTTTTTGATTCACTATTTACTGACATTTAATTGGAACAGATACAGGGTGATCAGAATTCTGAATCTTAAACCACCCTGTATTTTTTCCAATTGAATGTCAGTGGATAGTGGTTCAATAGTTATAAAAGGAACACGAAAGCCGTTTTGACCGATAATGAATAGTTTAGACACAAAAATATTCTGAAATTGAAAAATCTCTATTTTGAACACCCTTTATCATTGTAATCACCCCTGCTAGACTTCAAGTGGGATACATTGATGAGATCTGATCTTCAGGGATAATCTAAAAATGCAATGGAATACAGGGTGTTCCGTTTGAAAAATCATAGTTGCTGCTACTTCCTAGTAGAAGCGGCAACGCAGCATCGATTAAAATATTGTATACGTTTAGATCATGCCAATGTATACATACCATCAAATTTTCATATTGATATTCTGCTTGGTTTGCCAGAAACGTCTGATTAACCCTATATTTCTCCCCCGTATAATTTCATCATGATCATTAGTCATAGATGGATCGTTTGTTAGGAAATTAATCGGTTAGCAGCATGATTCAACCTAAAAGTCATTCATTCGGGACTAGTGGTGAATCAAGACAGTCCCATATTAGATGTCATCACGTACGGTCGAATTTTGTGATAGGCATTGAAAAATACACGGAAGGAATTGATCATCCACGTAATTGTCATTCCCAACAGATTGTTTACTGAGAAAGGAGTATACAGTGCTTTCCCAAAGCACTCAATAAATTCTTTTTCCGTCGACCTCAGGCGAGACAATAGACAGTTTTGCTGACCGTTGCTTGCAAGGCTGATGACTTCCAATGAGTTTCATGGACTTATAGTCTCAAAGACATTTAAAGAAACCCGATGACTTCCAATAATGACTTCTAAAGATGCTGAAAGTCTTTTCCAGAAGTCATAAGTTTCCGAAGAAATCGACGACTTCCTAATCGATAGTTTCAAAGGCATCTAAAGTCTCCCGAGGCATTTCAATGAAGTTCAATGACTCGACAAAATTGCTGCAATCAAGTCTTATGGCTCCCTATGTGTTTCAAGGACTTCTAAAGCGTTTCAAAGAAATTGAAGAATCCCATGACTTCCGATAATGACTCTTGAAAATGCCTTAAATCTTTTCCAGAAGTTCATCATCTTCCATAGGCGCCGAAATAAGTCGATGACTTCATAATCGGTATTTCCACAGGCCCCCAAAGTCTACCGATGGCTTTCAATGAAGTTCGATGACTTCCAAAGCGTTTCAAAGATATTTAAAGATACCCAATGACAGAAGTCCTAGCTTTCAAAAATTTCGATGACTTCCCTGATGACTCCTCAATTGATAGTTTCAAAAGCTACCAAAGTCTTCAAAGGGCTTTCAATGAAGTTCAGTGACTCGACGCAACCGTTGCTCACAAGTCTATTGGCTTCCAATGAGTTTCAAGGACTTCTAAAGCGATTCAGAGACTCACACAAAGACTTTCAATGACCTTTACTCACCCAACAGGCGATTGGGTAACGGGAGCCTTCGTAGGCTTGGTAGGCTTCGTAGGCTTCGTAGGCTTGGGCGTGGGAGGCGTGCAATCTCGTTCGTCCGAATTATCGGCACAATCTTTGACGCCGTTGCATTTGGCGAACCCGTTCACGCATGCGCCGTAATCGCATACGTATGTGAACCCTGGGCAGAACTTGTTTCGACAGGTAGCTTCGGTTTCGTCGGATCCGTCGTCGCAGTTCGGGACTCCATCACATTGGTCGTCGAGCGATATACATTGATTGCCGGACAGGCAATGGAACTGATCGGATCTGAAGAAAAAGAGATCAGGAGTTTGTTGAAAAGTGCCTAAATCTTTCGAACCATTCCCATCACGTGATATGCTGGGATTTCTGTTTCTTGATGATTATTTTTCGCAATGAAATTGTAGAGGCTGAGTTTGGCCAGGGAGTGTTATTCTGGTCCACTCACAGCATGGCGTCAGCCCACTGTTATCATTTGTGTAGTGATTTAGTCTTTCAAGGATGTTTTCCTTCCTCGTTAATTACTCTAAGTTTTTCTACAAGCGAATGCATACGTCCATAATGTTTCACGTGATTCTCTGTTACCAATTTGGCAATGGGGTTTGGGAATGGTTCGAAAACTTTAGGCTCTCGTATTTGTTGCGTGTATACGAGGCGGAAAGAAACTTCTATTTGTAACGCACACCTCTCTAGTGTTGCCAACAGCCAATCTTAAAAACGGCTAGATGATTGTTGGAAGAAGGCTAAAACATACCTAAATATGAAAGTTTTTTAGCCTTTTTTTTTGGCAAATCCAATCATTTTTTTGCAATTTTTCTAGCAAAAACAAGAAATCTGACGATGGACTACGAGTCAGACATTCAAAATTTTAATTCTTGAGCTTAGTTCTAGAGCTGTATTGTCATATTGAAATTTTGTTACATGAACTCTTTCAATTTTTGTAACATATTGTTCAATATAAAGAAATATATACTCATGGCACTATTAACGAAACAATTTATTCTCATTTGAATACTTGGAATGATTTTATTTCAATTATTATGTTATATTGACATAACTCGTTATTCAGTTGTTCTATTTATTTCTTCTATATATTTATAAATATCATAGGTTTATATATCTTTATTATAAACAAAGATGTTTTTTGGAGTAATGAAGAACAACAACAACAAGTCCAAACCCCGTATGTTTGAAAAAAGTTTTACGAAGTTTCAGGGTAAAATAGTACTAGACTAGTGGATACTCACTTGCAGTTACTTTGTACTTTTGATGCTTCATCGGTACTAATTTTACAGTGGTGCTCATCAGAATTATCATGACAATCTTTTTTGCCGTCACATTCTCTGAAACTATCTATGCAGGCTCCATAATCACAGACGAACAAGAAACCAGGACAACTGCAAAACAATAGGAATAAGGTATATACTTACATGTACATCCCTAGTAATGTTTCATTTTAGTTACTATTGGATTAGAAGTATTTTATGCACGACCGGGAGTAAAGTAGCACTTTACTGTCAGGTTTTGCGGACGTGAAATGTCACTTTACCGCCCGCGGACTACTTGATTGCCTGGCGTATAGGTAACTCGTTATGAGCATTCCTGTATAGTTCAGGACACATGTCATTCAGTTGTGATGGTTCATTTTGTAATATTGGAGTTCTTCTGAGATGACCGAACCCAAAATAAGTTATCTGTAATGACACTAATTGACAGCAATTATAATAGTCTACTCCTATTTCGAAGAATCAATGATAATCCTCACAGATAGATGTATAGAAAGTATTATAAACATCTCACCACACTGCATCCATGATGTATTTCTATCTGGCTTGAGAGGTGAAGAAGTATTCATAATGAAAAATCAAATATACCTGTCGTGCATAAAATGTTTTATGTATTTCGGGCATAACTTGCTTTTATGGACCTTGGCTACGGTCCATAAAAGCCTATTTTACACCCTTGATCATCATCGTTGAGTAGGTAGTAGTGATTGTATAGTCACTATTCACTACTTACTAATTGTTTAGTAATATTGCCATAGGTATGAGAGATAAGTATACTAACGTAATAGCTGTTTTACAGTCATCGAGTTCATCACTTCCATCTTTACAATGCTGTCTGCCATCGCATCTGTCAAATCTGCCTATACATTCCCCACTAGTAGTACATTTGAACCTAAAAAATAGTTATTTATGTACTAAGGACATAACACTGTCTATTATCAATCAATCAATTATCATAAAAGTGTACTTCTCCTATACATTTCAATTTTCATTTCAATACTGAACATATTGCTAAGTTATATTTTTATATCATAATACATCATATCGATTTGAGAGATGATGACAATTCTCAATTTCAGAGGATTTTGATTTTACATGCTCTCCTTTTGGATATTCATCAGATATATATAATTCAATGTTCGACGTGGCAAATAGCCAGGAAAGTAGTTGTTTTCTGTTGAGTATTCAAAATTATTTTATGTGCATATCTTTATACGAAGGAGAATGCAAATTCTTTACCTCTGAAGATTTTGTTTTCAAATTCTTATCGTGTGTGTTCAATAGATGTAATTCGATGTTCGTCGTGGCATATAGCCAGGAAAGTAGTTGTTTTCTGTTGAATAAACCGAGAAAGAATTAATATTTTCATCACAATGGAGAATGCGAATTCTCAATGTATTTCTTTATATATGTATCCATTTTTTTGTGTTCAGAAATATATCTGAGAATATTCCTTCTACAACAATAGAATGATATCAGAACATGAAATTTTGATTTCCAACCAGGTTCTAACCACGTTCTAACTTACTAAACTTTGAAAATCAGGTTCTGTATCAGAAACTAGATGTCAGGAATGACAGAATCTTGATTTTTTTCATAACTAAATCCACATTAAGACTCTTAAAGATGGTGAATTTGAGATTCAAACGAATTTTAAATTAAAAATATATGCAATAACCTTTCATCAGCCTTTTATTCTTTTTCCAGTGCGGCTAGTTATTATTTGGCGCATGCGTTGTCGTGAATTATGGAAGAAATTAATTTCTTAAGGCTGATACATGCAGCATTAATTATAATTACACTTTCATTACATTATAATTACATTTTCACTAGCCGCGAGGTACCCGTTCATGCAACTTATGCTCATAATGAACTAATTATTCGACGTTATGTGATCTGCTTGGATTTTACAAATGTTTACAGGTTATTTGAGAATATGGATTTATTTTGAATATAATATCTGAGGTGAATCACGAATAGTTTTGTGGAAAAAATGATCATTCAATGATCTAATCTTGCAAATCAGTCGTCTTCACTAGAACTATAATGTAATTATAATGAAAAGTTAGAAGTTGGTCAACTTCTTAGTGGACTAATGTGATGAAAATGTAATGAAAATGTGTTAATGTGTTGCATGAACGCATTCTATGACATAGGAGTTTTCAACTTTCTTAATTTATAATGTAATGAAAATGTAATTATAATGACTGTTGCATGAATCTGCCTTTAGTTGAATGTTGGCCATCTTTCTTAGTTTTAATTTTAATTTTTTAGTTTCTTGCATGAGCACCTACATTATACATTTCATAGTTTTATATTATTGGTTTAATTTTAAAATTCATTTAAGTTTTAAATTTTGCTTGCATGAATCCATCTTAAGTCTTGAATGTTTAAATGTTAGATCTTCAATGCTGAAAGTGTTTACCTATTATAAGTCACCCTTAAACTTTGAACTCACCCATCAATACATTCTGATTGTCTCTTATTCCTCGTGATATTAATCATAGAATCATATTCAGTTTCGATCGAATATCCATTAATTCCAGTTATATCTACACAAACTGAAAAAAAAAAACGGAATGAATGAATATAAATAAACAAGAATAACTACTACAAGTCACAGCTCATGTACCTATATTTACCTAACAAAACCCACACACAAAAAAACAATTTTTTCACACGATCACAGTGCACATTTTCATGTTTGTAACTTGAAATCAACTGTTGCATATTCGTTTCACTTTAGCCATATGTACCTACCAAAAAAAATGAATGTTGCACAGAGCAACATTATTCTGGAAATACCAAGTTGTTTAATTATTAGTTGATGATAACCCGTCTTGTATCTCGAATAAAAGAAAACAAGAACTGTAAATCCCAAGCGCGGATCCAGTGGGGGGTCATGAGGGTCATGACCCCCCTCCTGTATCGTTGATTTCGTGTTTATTATTCAATAACTTGATGAGGATTTGAGCCAGAGGTATTAGATTAGATTAGATTGGAATGGGACCTTCGGGCTATCTGCCTCCACACTGCGACCTTTTCAGATCTATTGTGTCTGCCCTCAAAATCGATTAGAGTTCTTCGGCTAGCCCCGCCTTCTCTATGAGACTCCATAGGCTAGCTTTCAGATCTCCTGTGTATCTCTGGGATCCTGGTTTTTCCTCTCCCAGCGTAAGGAACCTTAGTCTTGACAAGCCCTCACAGTGGCAAAGTATGTGTACTGCTGTTTCTTCCTCTTCTTCGCAGAACCTGCACCAGCAGTTCTTCAGTCAGACCTATCGTACTCATGTGTTTGTTGAGCCTACAATGCCCTGTGAGAAGTCCCACTAGTATTCTAGTTGAACTTCGTTTCTGGCTTAGTAGATATTCTGTGAATGTTGGCGATGGTTTTTTAATAAACTATTTTGCCTGTCTCATTCCTGGCGAGTTGTTCCACCATTCTTGAGATTTAGTTTGCATCCATGATTTGATACTAGTCTTCTGTATAGCTTTCGCAATACCACAGAAGGGTTCTGGGCCATTAAGAGCTTTGTTTGCTCCTGCTCGGGCAAGTGAGTCTGCCTCTTCATTGCCCTCGTACCCTGTATGTGCTGGTACCCATGCTAGAGTCAATCTGTTCTGACTGCCCAGTGCATTGAGGGGTTTCTAGTTTTGAGTTAACTCGCATAGAGTTGACTGCTTTGATTGCCGCCTGGCTATCTGAATAGATTGCAATGGTTTTGCCTTTAAACTCTTGCCTTATCAATTCTTTCACGCAATGATGTATTGCAATAATTTATGCCTGAAACACCGTCGCGTATTTGCCTAAGCTCAGTGAGATTGTTGTCTTTGGCTTGGCCCCATAAATACCAGCTCCTGATCCTTCATCAGTTTTGGAGCCGTCCGTATAGACAGCAATGTCTGCATTGATAGGAGGTCCTTCCTTCCATGCCTCTCTGTCCGTTATACTTATTTTAAAAGTTTTTTCAAAGCAATATTTTGGAATTATGCCATCCGTTGGCATCCCCATGATGGGGTCGCTTTCCGAGTCAGAGGTATAGGGAATATACTTGATTAACTTATCCGTCGACCCATCCCCTTATTCAATGTTCTTTTATACAGGGTGTTTCGCAAAATATTTTTACCTCAATCCGAAATTGATCCGTTTCCGAGGGTGGAAAAGTAGAAGAATGATATCGATTGCCAAAAAAATATCTGTAGCCACTTTCCAAAGATGTCCATTTTCGAAAAACTCCTGATGGTAACTCCGAAACGAAGACATATATCGATGTGCGGATTTCACCAATGAGTTGTTCATGAGAATCGACCTCTTAGACACCGACATCAGTTTTCTTCCATCTGATTCAAGTAAGTTTGCTTGTATCGAATTGTTCTGGTCTGAGGAATAAGTAGTGGTTTCTCGCAAATACCTTTCAGGGATACCCTGTATATTACTTTATCGAGATCAGAAACTCTAAGACAGATCTGCATGGCGCTGGGCGCTGGTGCGATTTTATCGATCCCATGCGCGAATCCCAGTAGGCCATGACCGTCATTCGACGACAACCGACAATCGGAAAGAAACAAGAAACGATCGCTAGAAGGGCGTCGAAATGTCGACCACCGCCGCTTCCGGGGGTGGCAAAAAGTGCGAACAATTGACGCCACAGCCGCCTGTGCTGAGCGTCGCTTGCAGGTAAGATCAGATTCTGAGCCAGTGGATACGATTTGTGTGATAATCGCGAAGAATACCGCGCGGTACTGGCAGAGGAATGTATGTGATTGATGTAGTGCGGTAGCTTTTGACACGTTTCACAAATGAAAACAAAAATGAAATTTACTAATTTTATCCTCAATTTGAGAACTTATGTGGAACGAACACAAACTATTCAGAAATGAATTCAGGACGCGAGCTCTTCTTCGTGTTTATCTCTGCATATATGGCAGCAATCTATTGAAAAATATGGTGAAACCTTAGCCGTAGCACTTGATATCTCCAAGGCATTCGACCGAGTCTGGCACCACGGACTCCTCACCAAGCTTCCATCTTATGGCTTGCCTCCCCAGCTATGTTCTCTGCTAGCTAGTTTTCTCTCAAACAGGTCTCTCCATGTAGTGGTCGACGGAGTTTCATCTGACTCTCTTATCATAAATGCTGGTGTTCCGCAAGGATCAATTCTAGCACCAACACTATTTCTACTCCATATCAACGATTTGTTGAAAGCAACTTCATGTCCAGTACACAGCTTTGCGGATGATAGTACCCTCCATTCCGCCTTCTCTTCCAGGGCTCCAATACCAGCCAGGCAAATCAAAAACGAACGAGAGAGAAATGTTGACAACATAAATATGGACTTAGCAACAATTATCGAATGGGGATCCAATATCTTGGTAGATTTCAATGTAAACAAAACACAAGCATGCCTCTTCTCTAGAAAAGCCGATCTCACTGTGCCCAACATAAGCTTGTCAGGAGTAACTATACCTTTGAAAGACATCCATTTCGATGCTTGGTATTACTATCAGCAATAACCTTTCTTGGAAAAATCACGTGAGATCAATTGCTAAAAGTGCATCCCAAAAACTTTGTTTTCTGTTTCGGGCCAGGAGCTATTCCACTTCCAGTCTGCTGCTCATGATCTATAAGGCACAGATCCAACCTGTCCTGGAATACTGTTCCCATATTTGGAGTGCAGCACCCAAACATACCCTGAAACTGTTGGATTCTGTCCAAAAAAAGGCAATTCGTCTCGTGGGTGATGCCTCGCTCACAAACTCACTCACTTCTCTGGAACACCGTGGAAAAGTTGTCGATCTGGCTCTATCTTATAGATATTTTCATGGACGATGATCTTCTGAAATGCAAGATTAACCCGTCAAGTTCGCACCCCTTCGTGGTCACTTTGGAGACCTGCAGAACATCTCTTTCCAAGACTCGTTCATCCAACGAACAGCGAGGCTCTAGAACACATTGCCAAGGGAGGTGTTCCCCGAGGCATATAACCTCCAGAAATTCAAGGAGTATACCAATTCCTACCTTATTTCCCTTGGTTCTCACGATGTTCTCTAAAAATTCGGGATATCCCTTTTCGTGGGAACCAGAAATGAAAAAAAAACTAGTTTGGTAGGTGGAATCTTCGTAGGTATCGACAGACTGGAAAACAACTTCACAAAGTATGAAAATCATCATAAAATTCACTAACAGTTTATTTTTAAATAGACCAGCCAACACATAGTCCAGATTTGATTACATCAAATACTTTTCCATTGAATATGTGCAAACAATTGACTCATCAGCCACCTGTGCTGAGCATCGCTTGCAGGTGAGATCAGATTCTGAGCGGATAGGAGTTGTGTGATAATCGCGAAGAATACCGCGCGGTAGTGGCAGAGGAATATAGGTGGAGGTAGTTCAGTACCTTTTGACAAATTTCACAATGAATGAAAACAAAAATAATTTATGTACCTACTTTATTCTCAACAAATATTACTTACCTGATAATACCCAAAGGAACCTAAAATATTTAGAAAAGTCTTTAGGACGAGCACTCTTTCGTATTTGTTTCTGTAGAACCTAGTTTGTTAGACAAATTCTTCGTATTGGCAGACTTGAAAACACTTTTACCAACTGTGAACATGATCAAAATATCCTTACAATTTTTTTGACTTGTACCAGAGCCAACAGATAGTCCAGATTTGTTTACATTGAATACTCTCCCATTGAATTATAATCATCAAATACCATTATTTTTCCGCAGAATCCTTAGATCTCCCAGTCACGAAAGTGTAACAACGGATTTATCGTTGTTTTCTGTGTCTTCAGTAACATCTGATGTCCATACTGGTCGAAGACTTCTGCATTTCGGGAAAACCGACCCAAGGGGACACAGCCCTAACCCAGAAAACAGGACCCATAACAGGTAAGGCAATTGGGATGACACCGATTCTTGAATTTCCTTTTTTTTAAGAAATGTTCAGATTAAATCTGAGACTCGGCAACATTGCCAAACAATTTTTGAAAGTGTTTTATGATGAAGTTGCTCTACAGCACAAGCGCTTGAAAGTGAAAATCTGCCGTATTTTTAAACCAAATAATCTACTCTACAGGGTGCCAGTTTTTCGAGCTTCACCATGGAGATGTCAGTTATATAATAAGCGAGAGATACGAGGTCGGTTAAATCAGGGCAAAGGTGCGAATTTTCATGCTGAACATTCATCTGCAAGAAAATTTGTCATTTCTAGTTTTTGGATTATTGAAAGAAAACGAAAATTTATAATTATCGTTTTCATTTTTTCAAGCGAAAACCAAAAGACCTAGACGTTTCTGACTAGGACATTCTCAAGGCACTTTTTTACAAGAAATCTGAATCTGTCATCGTATTTTCCATGGCGTTCTTGACGCCTGTAAGAAAGAACAAAGTTGAGTGTTGTAACATTGGCACCAAGAACATCATGGAACATACAATGATAGATTCAGATTCCTTGTAGACTAGTGCCTTAAGAATTTCCTAGTCAGAAACGTTTAGGTCTTTTGGTTTCCGCTTGAAACAATAAATACGAAAATTATAAATTTTCGTTTTTTTCCAATAATTCAAAAACTTAAAATGGTACATCAAATTTTCTTGCAGATGAATGTTCATCATGAAAATGCGCAACTTTGCCCTAATTTATCCGACCTCGTATCTCTTATAATAACCGAGATCCACATGGTGGAGCTCGAAAAACTGACACCCTGTACATGAAATCATCAAGACTAATAGCTTTTTGCTTAGACCAGCAGACATTCCTGAAATTCTTTGGTTCGAAGAAGAGACCGACTTGATCCGCAGCTGCGCAGCCCTATCCTCAGCTGTGGGCCTGCAAAAAAGCTTCAGCACCAGCGACATCAGCCAGCTGCACTCGCCTGAAGAGGGCCATCCCGTACTCGGTTTGCGAAACGCCGTATCAGAGTTGGCCTTGAATTCGCTACAACGCTCCGGGTACATTCTGGAGAATGCCAGACTGGATCAAACATCCAGGTGGGCTCAGAGAAAAATATTCTGAGAGAAAACAATCGATCCTTGATTTTTTGTAGGTCTTGTTCGACTTGGGTCGCTGTTGGAGACATAGCATCCACTTCGCAACTCCCTTCCCCCCACGGGGGTCAATCAACCTCCAACGCGCAACAACCGGCAAGTACCCCCCCTCCTGCTTTCACAGCAGCCGACTTGATTAGATCTGTCAACAAGAAGGTAGGAAACTTCTTAAAACATAATTATCACCTTTCAGGTAGTTCTCTATGAATTATATACAACGTACGCCCAATTTACATATAATTTACATATAATTTACTTACAATTTACATACAATTTACATTTTACATATAATTTACATACAATTTACATACAATTTACATACAATTTACATACAATTTACATACAATTTACATACAATTTACATACAATTTACATACAATTTGCATACAATTTACATACAATTTACATATAAGTTGCATAAATACAAACTGCATACAATTTACAACTAATTTTCATACAATTTACATACAAGTTGTATGAGACGAAATTAGAAAAAAGGTCGGTTTTCTGAGCCAATCAGTATTACATACAAGCTACTCACAAGGTACTTAAAATCAGATAACAGAACTCTCTTGTCTTGCCTTCACAGCAAGATGCGAGCAATGCGAACGCGTTAATGTTCAAGATCATTAATCGCCTTATTCATATACGAGTTGGTTGAAAAATGCATTCACGTCGACTATATTTCTCCTGCAATGAAGGAAACCTGGTCCTCGAATTCATCCGAAAACTACTAAACCATCACCCATTAGCCATGAAAATCAACTTGTCATTGGCATTAGTGACATTTGACATTTGTCGAAATTATCAACATGGAGAATAAATTCCTTTTGTGTCAGAAAACATGCATTGAAGTCGGTTCAGAAACTTTATGAAGCTGATTAATATAACCAGTTGACGTAAAATCTCCCATGAAATTCATATTTTCGATTAAAATGAATGGTTGGAATGGTTGCTTATACCGCAAATGATCGTTATTAGACTAAAATGTTTCGATATTAGTTTCGACGAAAGTCGACGAAAAAATGTTATTATCACTCCCCTGGTGGTTCACAATGATTTGTTTGTATTTTTCAAATAAAACGAATACTAAGTGCTTGAATTGAGGCCAGGTTACGCCTAACCGCCTGCAGAATAATTTGATGCTACTGCACGACTTTCACTATCACTATAAACAATGTGTAGACAAATTTGAGATTCCACCAGCTGAGTCTTTGTTACAGGTGCGCCAAAATTACATTCGCAGACGTCTGCTGACCACCTACAAGGCCATAGAACGATTGTCGCAGAGCGAATTCAACCTCGACAGGTTGGAGGTGACCCCCTCCACGGCGACGGCCAGTGTCGGCTCAGCAGAGCAGTCTCAGAGCGGCTCAGCAGCGCCGTGTCGGCTAGCCGTACCCGGTTCGAGTCCCACGCCTAGCAAGAGCCCCACCGGCACCACTTCGAGCAGCACCAATGCGGCCATGTTGAGGGTAAGTACATATAATTTACATACAAATCACACGCAAATTACCTACAAATTACATATAATTTACATACAAATTACATACAAATTACATACAAATTACATACAAATTACATACAAATTACATACAAATTACATACAAATTACATACAAATTACATACAAATTACATACAAATTACATACAAATTACACATAAATTACATACAAATTACACACAAATTACATACAAATTACATTCAAATTTTTGCACATAAATGTACTTATAGTTTGTGAAATTTGTTGTAGGTTGCCAAACAGAGGGCTGGTAAGAACCTCCCTCTGACTATTAGGGATGTGGAGAGGGAGAGGGGTAAGCCGTTGTCAAAATATGAGAGGAACATGATGATCTTCAATTGGTTGCACACTCTTGATGATACTGCCTTCGTAGAGGGGATACAGTAAAAAGACTGAAACGCTAAAGAGGAGCGACTACAAAAACTTCTCTTTCAGTCCTAATGTAAAAAGTACCTGTCTTTTTTTGTAAATATATACGAATGCTATATACTTGTAAGTCGAGCATATTTATGTATATGTATACCATTGAATAATTAATCTTTGGCAAAGGATCTGATGCTGTTACTCTGTATTCCAGAATTTGTGATTACTCTTTATCGTTTTTGGAAATTGTTGATTTTCAATTATTCGAATTCTAGTGAAATGTTTTGGTAAAGTTTGCGTATTGCTTATGCTTTTGTAAAGTTACATTCCTCACATATCTTCTTCAACTAATTGTAACTTAGCGGTATATCCAGAACTATCCTAAAATTCGAGTGATTGCACAATCGTTAACCAAAATGTAATATTTTTATTCAGGCAAATAAACTTGTGACTTCAATTGTCAATTGTCTTTCTTTATATATAAGTGATCAATTTAATACAATATACGATGTGATTTTGTTCCAGAATCCACGTAATTCTTTTACTCTTGACACTTTTAACATAGTGATAATGTGAATGTTCCTCACTGAAAACCATCTAGACCATATAGACTGACGTTAAATGTCCGATTCCGAATCTACTAGTATATTTAATTTCAATAAGCATATAATGAGGGCTATTACTCACGAAGGTCAAGCTTATGTCACGAGCGTAGCGAGTGGCATAAAATCAATCTGAGTAAATAATAGCTCATTATATGCGAGTAGAATACTATACTTTGTCCACAACTACTATTGTTTTTGATATTATCTTTAACAACTGTTTTAGTTATCATACCTTATTAGACATTCAGAAAACTAAAAATTGAAGATATATCTGTAATATTAATTATTTGTCCACGATTGTTATATTTTCTCAAGTAAAAAGATAGCCATTTTTCACACCAGTGAATAATAACGGTGAATATAACCATTATTCACTGGTCTAAAGTTCCTTTATATGTTATATCGGGTACCCTAGGAACTCTAGACCAGTGAATTATGGTTATTCACAGTTATTATTCACTGGTGTGAAAAAGGGCTATCGTTTTGCTTGATGCATTACATGTATTATGAATATTTTATACAACAGCCGTGGACAAATATGTTTATGCACGACCGGACGTAAAGTGGCACTTTAGCACCAGGATTCGCAGGCGTAAAGTAGCACTTTAGCGCCTCAGAGCGATAAAGGAGTACAGCGGGCGGTGAAGTAGGTGATTGGGCAATAAAGTGATTTCACTGTCTCTCCAGTAATTTCTAATAGACTAGCATTCGATCTTTGTTCCAAAACAGCTCTTGAAGTTGACGTTTTTCTTACAGACACATTGAAATGATTAGTATGTTTGTTACTAGGCAACGCTTTTAGTATCTAGGATCTAAAGTTGAACTCCTACAAAATTAAAGTGTCTCGGATGACAGCTGATATAATAGCTGCTTTTTAACAGTGATATACACAAGCTAGTCAAAATATTATGGTAACTTCACTTATAATTTATTAATTATGGAGATACCTATCAATTATTTCGATTGCATAAAAAATATCATGTTTCATTAGGATTGATACTGACTATGTTTGACTCGCATTATTTGCGTGCTTGTCAAAGAAAGTGTCACATTTGATCCTAATAAAACAATGTACTATTTTGTCTTAGATCCAGAGGATAAGTTCTAGACTGACATATCCGAAACTATACAGATGCTGAATAGAAGAAAAACCAGATACAGAGTGTCCTACGGAGACATCAATAGTATCAATGTGCAGATATAAATAGGAAAAATGGGAAGGAGAAAATAAAACATGAAAATATACGATCCAATTCTATGGTCTCTATTTTCTTTCACAGCTTTTTATATTCATTTGACTACATTGGGCCTCTACAATTAATAAGTTAAAAACATGCAATAGTTTCCCAACAATGATAAAAAACATTAATCATTAAAAGCTAAGTGGTATATCATCAAATCCACATTTTCCACTACTAACATTCAATAAATTCCATTCAGTAAATGACAAACTTAAATTTACAGTAGGTATACCTATATTATTTCATATAGTTATGATATAGAGATGCAATCACAGAAAACCAATCACTAGACTCCGATTCTAGTGATTTTTTTAAAATTTCTATTTGGAAGATAATACAGTGTGTCTCAGAAACTCAGATGAATCATTCACCCCCTTTTTCTCGAAACTAATAAAGAAATTATAAAATTTCGGAGACAGCGGGTGATAAGTTTCATGAGGAACATTTCCGTTTATACCAGGTGTGTCAATAGAGTGGGTTTGCCTTCGATATTAGCCAAACCGTCAGGGTGAGTCATTAAAAGGAAAAAGTGAGACAATGGCTTCGCTGTTTAAGATAAATGCACAAAAATTCTTGTGATGGTCTAGGGTCATGGACAGCAGATTTCCATAATATTTCGCGTTATACAGGGTGACTCAAAAATGCGTGACGTATCAAAGTTATACGTTTCCTCATGGGACACCCTGTATTTCATGCCATTTTCGGATTCTTCTTTGTGAGCTGATTCCATCAATGCATCACACTTGGGGTCTAGTGAGAATGATTACAGAGATATAGGCTGTTCAAAATCGAAATTTTCCAACTTTCGGATTTTTTTGTGTCGAAACTATTCATAATTGGTCAAAACGGCTAACATGTCCCTATCTCAACTTTTGATTTACTATCTACTGATATTTAATTTGAACGAATACAAGTTGGTGGTTCATAATTATGAATTTTGAACTACCCTGTATTCGTCTGAATGAAATACAGGGTGATCCACGGTGGATGGCCTATTAGAAGTATCTGGAGAACGAGAAGACAGAACATTCTTAAAATTGGGATGCTTAGATCATTGAATATTCTCTATCCGTCTAAAATATTTTCATCGATACAGTGTTGCCACTGTATTTTATTGCATTTTTAGATTCTCCCTGAAAAGCTGATTTCATCAATGTATCACACTTGGGGTCTAGCAGGAATGATTACATAGATATAGGGTGTTCAAAATCGAGATTTTTCAATTTCAGGATTTTTTTGTGTCGAAACTATTCATTATTGATCAAAACGGCTTACATGTCCCTATCTCAACTTTCGATTCACTATCTACTGACATCTAATTGGAACAGGTACAGGGTGATCAGAATTCTGAATCTTGAAGCACCCTGTATTTTTTCAATAAAATTCCAGTAGATAGTCAATCAAAAGTTGAGATAGGGACATGTAAGCCGTTCTGATCGATAATGAATAGTTTCGACACAAAAAAATCCTAAAATTGAAAAATCTCGATTTTGAACACCCTATATCTCTGTAATCATTCCTGCTAGACCCCAAGTGTGATACATTGATGAAATCAGCTTTTTAGAAAGAATCTAAAAATGCAATAATATACAGGGTGTTCCATTTGAAATAACAAAGTTGCTAGTTGTTTCTGATAGAAGTGGCAACACTGTATCGATGAAAATATTTTAGACGGATCGAGAATGTTCAATTATCGAAGAAACCTAATTTTCAGGATGTTCTGTCTTTTCGTTCTCCAGATACTTCTAATAGGCCATCCACCGTGAATCACCCTGTATATTAGTATAAACAGTGAATCAAAAGTTAAGATGGGGACATGTGAGTCGTTCTGACCAATAATTAATAGTTTCGCCACAAAAAAATCCTAAAGTTGAAAAATCTCGATTTTGAACACCCTATATCACTGTAATCATTCCCGCTAGATCCCAAGTGTGATGCATTGATGAAATCAGCTCACAAAGGAGAATCCGAAAATGCAATGAAATACAGGGTGTCCCATAAGAAAAAGTATAATTTTGATACGTAACGCATTCTTGAGTCACCCTGTATAACGCAGAATATTTTGGAAATGTGCTGCTCATGAACCGAGACCATCACAAAAATTTTCATTGATCTATCTCAAACAGCGAAGCCGTTATATCACTTTCCCATTTCAATGACTCACACCCTGTAGAAAACATTACAATACAACAGTTATAGAGTTTCGTGACAACTATCGCCTATAATTATTATTTTCATATCAATAGAGTTTTCGAATTTCAAGATATCATCTGATGAGTTATTGCATTTTCAAATGCACCATCAAAATCACTACACAACTGTTTTTTGTTTTCTGTATTTGACCACACGGTTGATAATTTATTCAACTTCTCTCGTAAAAAAACTGAATTTGTAGAGCTCATAAAAAATTTATAGTATTTTTCGTTAGGACAGTTTTTCACGTAAAAAGTTGAATAAATTGGTAGCCTTGGGGTTAAATATAGAAAACAAAACACAGATTTGTAACAATTTTGATGTTTCATTCAAAAATACAATTGAAAACAAGGTGTCCCATTCAAAATAACTCATCATCAGCCGATATCTTGGAATTCGAACACCCTATAGATATTTTTGCTTTTGGGTGTATGATAAATTGACATTTATCATACAGGGCGTGGAAATGAATTCTGAATTGAGACTCTATCATAGAGAATGCGAATTCTCAATGTATTGCTTTATATCAATATATATCCTTTTTTGTATGTTCATAATTTATCTGAGAATATTCCTTTTCAACCCTATAGATATGAAAATAATTTTAGGTGATAGTTCTCATGAAACCCTATACTGTTGTATTCGCATATTTTCTAGAAATCTGAAAATGTTGGCTAATATCGAGGTAGAACCCACTATTGATTCACCCTGTATATATAAGTCCAATTTGGACTTGAATGCACGATGTCCAATTAAATATCTCCTAAATACATTGTATTTAGGAAACATTATATTAATATAGGTAAATCGGATATAACTCCAATTTCATCAAACCTTTTACATTCGAAGCTTATAAGAATAGGACATTCTTACTAGAAAATTAATTGTTCAAACATCACAAAGAAAAAAACAGAAGAAGTGTATAGGTATTCAGAGGGTTTTTTTCTTCATTGATTTCTTAATTCGTGGCAAGGTGGCACTTTCCTGAAAAAACAAAATAAATTTAACTGTTCATCAGTTGATCAAATAATGGGGTAGTTTCATAATATATTGAGGTTCTTATCTCACTGTGAAGTTTGTAAAAAATTAATATACAGGGTGTTTCAAAAAAACCTAACCCTCTTGCTAGGGTAGGTAGAACATTGCAAAATAAGTTGGGTTTGCTCAGTAAAAAAATGTCGCAACGCCATCCGCTTTCAAGATACAAGGTGTTGAAACAATATTTTTTTTACACATTTTTTACGATTATGTTGAAACTACTGGCAACATTGTGATGAAATTTGGTATGGATGTTTCTTGGAATCTGACACATCGCATGCATTTGTTTCTATATCTGATTCTCATAGAGGGCGCTATAGTTACACGGTTCGTACCGAGTAGTTTCGAACATAACTTTTTTGAGGTTAGATTTTTCAATCCAAATTTGATGTGAACTTGAACGTCATTCAATTTTACACCAAAAAGGTACTCTTGGTAAAACTCAATACTGTGTTCCGTTTTCGGAATATTTCGATTTGAAAATGATGAAGTGGTAACTGTTGCTGGTATAAAGCTATGTATTAGAGTGAGTATTATGAAAAATTATCACCTATTTATTGAAAACCGAACACAACAATACATTTCTGATGCAAAACTCATTGATTCAACAATAAATCACAAGACTAACATCGAAACAGATTTGACTAAAAGAACATGGATTACACAGTTTTGTTGTATCTTGAGCAGAAAGTCTATGCTACATCAAGAGTTGTGAGACATAATTGAACATCACTTAAATAACCTAACAGCTGATCCCCAACTGTTCAGAAGAATAATATATTCTTAAAAAAAGAATATAGAATCGTGTATTCCTCGAAACGTAGGACATTTTGAACACTTACTCTAACTGATTCAATATTTCATGTTTCTAGTCAAATATCTCTTAATTTTCTAATTATGATTCTTTGTTCCTTCAATAACTTCATCACAAGAATAATTTTATTGTTTTTGAACCTGAATAAATAGGTAATTGAACTCTATAAAATTCATTTTATATCAGCATCATTACTACTCCATTATTTTCAAATCGAAATATTCCGAAAACGAAACATAGTATCGAGTTTCACCAAGACTACCTTTTTGGTGTGAAATTGAATGATGTTCAAGTTCATATCATAGTTGGATTGAAAAATCTAACCTCAAAAAAGTTATGTTCAAAACTACTCGGTACGAACCGTGTAACTAGCGCCCTCTATGAGAGTCAGATATAAAAACAAATTCATGCGATGTGTCAGATTTCAAGAAACATCCATACGAAATTTCATTACAATGTTGCCAGTAGTTTTGGAATAATCGTGAAAAATGTGTAAAAAAATAATTTTTTTAACACCTTGTATCATGAAAACGGATGCCGTTACGACATTTTTTCACTGAGCAAACCCTACTTATTTGGCAATGTTCTACCTACCCTAGCAAGGGGGTTAGGTTTTGTTGAAACACCCTGTATACGTATTATTTTTTATTCTTTTTGTGAGATCAAATTCCACTTCAGAAAAAAATAAATAAAAGAGGACTTTGGCTCCTCCACCATTTCTATGACGTACTTTCTGGAATCCACAATCACACGAGTTAAAATACGATTTCCTGTGCCAGTACGACGTTGCCGACATCATATTCAGTATGTTTAGATTTCCGGAAATCGTTCTTTGAATGCATAATAGCCATATCAAAACAGCAATGGGATATAATAGGTTCTTCAATCCTACTTTGTCAAGTATTATGAATAATTTCCATGAATCTCTTATTGGCTGAATGAAGTTGATTACTAATGAAGATACATTATGATATTTTGGGATAGTATCTATAATTTTTCACTATCGTTATATTACAATGTTATTCATAACTTGTCATTCATTTTTCGCTAATGAATTCGTTCCTTAATAAAACGGATCTATTTTCTAGGAAAGTTGCAGATTATATCTTGCAACAGCGCCTAATACTTCGAGTCCGTCCACACCACTCGAAATACTGACAGGCACAACAAGAGGAAGGAGCCATGGGTGTCGGCTTCATTCTGTTCTGACCGATGACAGTAAATTAGAAAGGATAGTATCATTGAATGTAGCCGATAGTGATTCATTGATGCAATGATATTTCCGTTTAGGACCGAGCTCTATTCGAGATATTTCAATGCATAAATAACAAAACCATAATCTGTCAGAATAACGCCAACTACCTTCTGCATTCCTGCTCCGAGTGCATTTGTGGTTATGTATGTTTTTGTTTACCAGTTTTACTTCTTCTATTTTTTCAATCGTTTTTCATTCGTTAGCTATTCGCTAGCTAAAAGCTAGCTATATTCTTCACCATCAGCTATTTTCAGACTAGACTCAGAATGTACGTCATAGTTTGCCACCGCGAAAATTAGAAATTGCTTTAATTTGAAAATAAAAACGACTTGGACTTTATCGGTCGCCATTTTGTACAGCGTGGACATGAAACTGGAGATTTCCGAACTTAGTTTATTAAAATTCATCGGAAAGGAAACTTCCCCATTGGACATAAAATATTTGTATCACCCTGTTTTTATGTTCAGGGTGTCTCCTCAAAATATATCAAAAATTCAAAGGAGATTATTGGATCAAATTAAGAAATAAACAAGTTCCCATAAACGTATGCCCAGAATCATTTTGTTTTCATTTTTTATACTATAACCTACAATAAATAGCAGTTCTCAATGTTGGAATATTGCCAAAAAATTTCAAGTTCCAAAACATGCAACTTCTTGTCGAATTCAAAGTGCATATTTTTTTGTCCTAATAGAACAGAAGTGCTAAAGATTGGATTCAATTTTTTTTCAAGGGAACTCTTTTCTTATTTTGATCAAAACATTTTTCGCAATATTAATGAAACACAACACACACACACCCTCACACACACTTTGGAAGCAATCATTGTTAGCACACCGAGCACGACTGATGATGCCTGGTAGGCCGAAACAGTACCATCCAAAAATATTTCTCAAAAAAATCAAAAATGCTAAAAATCTTGTGTTAGTCGTCACACATCACACACCACCAATCATTACTTTCCAATAAACCTCAATCGATATCCCCATCCACATAACCTCTGATTACTTTCAGTCTTCTAAGGGCCACAGGGGAATTCAACAAGGATTTCACAGACAGTAAACTTCCTCCTACAAACCGATCAGAATCTTTCAAATCATCTTCCTGTTTCGAACGCAAATCGTTGTCACTTTTCGACTGTCTACACGGGGTGTGCGAATCATCCCCCAAATAACTGTGCCAAGAAGACCGTTTTTCTTGCTCCACTCTACCCCACGTACTAATTTTTTTCGGCAATCTGATGAACCTGGAGAAAGAGGGTTTGCTTCTGATCGAGCTAGATGATGATTTGGAGCTAACGAATATTTCCTTTGGGGGTTTTTCTGGGGAATCCAGAGTTTTCAAGCGGCCTGGTTTTAGGATCAAGGTGGCTTTAATTGGAGCTAGTGTTGCTGTTGGGGGCAAGGGAGCTGATTTCTTGTTGTATTTACCCCCTCGTTTTATCGGGGTTTCTTCTTCTAGCTTCAGGTCACTTTTAGCTTCATTTATATTGTGAGTTGAGTCTTCGGTTGCTTCGTTCTTAGCTTCAATTAAATTCTGCACAAAATTTGAGAAAGTATCAACATCTTTGGTTATCTCCTTTAAACTCAGTTCTTCTTCGGTTGTTGGATTTATATCTTCACATGCTGTTAATAGAGAGTATGTTTCTTTGTTTCTATTAAAATTAATAAGATTTATAGAAGAATCAACATGCTCGTAGTTTAAAGAATCCAAAAATTCTGTCTCACTTGATGATGAATCTGTTTGCTCAAGTTGCTCGATTTTTTTCATCGTATCGTTGATGAATATTACGTTGGTCTCGAAGATTTCGTTGTCGTCACTCTCCTTGGAAATTAATAATTCATTAGAATTCCCAAAAAAAAATGCTGAAAGTTAACAAGTAAATCTCCACAAAGCAAATTTAAAACTGTGATAATCTGTTGAATATGTTTTGCACCTCTTCAGGAATATAATGCGTCTCATTTCATACATTCAACCGCTTAACATGTTCCATGAACCTAGTTTCATGAGATATCCTAGTTTGTCCTACATACGTTTAGCCAAAATTATTATAATCAGGAAGTTTGATCATGATGGAATTGAACAAAGAGAATATAACATGATACTAACATCACTGATGCCTTCTTTTTTAGGAACGTTGGATCTGGTAGCTCTAGAGGTCCGAGATCTGGTGAGTGAGCCGGCTCTTTGAAGTCCCTCCTTAGCGGCCATCTGTGGTACCTTTAGGGTAGAGAATTATTGAGCTTCATAATAACATCCACGTCGATGAAATGATTTTTTGTTATTTCAATTTCATGGTTATATCTTTATATGGAGTAGAATGCAAATTATTTACTTCAGAGGATTTCGTTTTCGAATTCTTATCGTATGTGTTCAATAGATTTAATGCAATATTCGTCGTGGCATATACAGCCAGGAAAGGGGTTGTTCTCTGTTGAATAAACCGAGGAAGAATAAATATTTTCATCACTTGGAGAATGCGAATTCTCAATGAATTTCTTTTTATATATATATATATATATATACAGGGTTATGATAAAGTAATGCACAAAATTCATAAAACGTACAACAATCACTTTTGAAAAAAATGCAAAAACAAGTCAAACTGTTCTTTTTATTCCGCATCTTTTGACATAAGTTACAAAAATAACACGTCAAAGTTGTCAAAGTTATGACGTCATCAACACATTTTTTTAATGGGAAGCTAAGATTTTTATTACATTATGTGATAGAGCTTGTGGTTTTCACACAAGGGAAAAATAGTTGCAGTTGGGCTCACATAATGTAATAAAAATCTTAGCTTCCCATTAAAAAAAATTGTTGATGACGTCATAACTTTGACAACTTTGAAGTGTTATTTTTGTAACTTATGTCAAAAGATGCGGAATAAAAAACAGAGTTTGACGTGTTTTTGCATTTTTTTCAAAAGTGATCGTTGTACGTTTTATGAATGTTGTGCATTACTTTATCATAACCCTGTATATTCATTTTTTTGTGTTCATAAATATATCTGAGAATTCCTTTTCAATACTGAAAAGAAAAGTTTATAGAATCGAAAAAAAAACAAAATGTCGAACCTCATAAAATCGAAATAGTTAAAAATTAAGAAGTTGAAATCAAAAAATATCAAGAAACTGAAAATTTTAATTTTGTAAAATCGAAAACTACCGGAAACCAAGAAGCTTAATTTTGTGTAATTGAAAAAATATCAAAAAGCAAAAAACTCGAATTTCGTGATATTGGGAAATACCGAAAAACCAAAAAGTCGGATTTTGAAAAATCAAAAAATACCAAGAAAACAGAAAGTCGAATTTCGTAAGTTTGAAAAATACCCACAGCAAAAAGTCTATCGAATTGTTCAGATTTTGTGAGAATGAAGATTACCAAAAAAACAAAAGATACAAATTACGTAGTATTGAAAAATACGAGAGAACGAAAAGTCGAATTTTCTAAAATCAATAAATTCCGAGAAAGCAAAGTCTTAATCCTTAAATTTGAATGAAAGTCGAATTTCATATGATTGAAAAATATAAAAATATCCTAAAAAACAAGAAGTGAAGGAATGAAAATATACAAAAAAAATCAAAATGACAAACTTTATGAAATTGAAAAACACCGAAAAGCCAAAAAGTCAAGGTTTTCAAAAAAATAAAATACCTCACTGACCTTCCCCAAAGACAGTCCCTCCCCACTGGAATACCCCGAGGAGACATCCTCGGCCGATTGCAGCGCCACCACTCGCTGCGGACTGCGCCTGCGTCGCATCAGCCTGGCGTCCGTTATGACGACGTCATCCATTTCGTCAGGCGTCGGGACGCTCAAGTCACTCAGCGAGTAACTCTTCTTTAGGTGATTAACCAGACCGCCACCCCCCTAAAAAATAAACACTCAATACATGGGACAAAATGTACTGAATGACAAGGAGATCATTGGGTAGGGCGTCATTCAGTTGTTTTCCATGTTAGAATTTTGAAATTCGAAACGGTCTTCAGAACCCATATTTCCCAGCGAGCACAAAAACATCTCAGAGATGTTGAAAGTACGAGATTTCGAGACATTGAACCTCCACTGCGATGTTCTGTTCACACATGAATAGAACTATTATAGAACAGTCAATGTCCGCCGCAGGCGGCAATTATCGAGATGTCCTTGATATGTCACAAAACTACCTTCTCCCTAGTTCTTTTTAAAGCCTTTTCATGGACACAACAGAACATTTTCAACGCGTCTTGCGCACATTAAATCGCTGTAAAAAACCCATTTTCGAGGTACTTTTCTGAAGCCTTTTGTCAAAATGAACTTCTGCATTAGGATTCCATTTCACTTGAATGAAAAAATGCATTAAAAATACATTGAACATAAGAAAATATTTTCTTGATATGAAATTACCTTCTTAATCGGTTTCTGAGTAGTGCTTACTACACACAGACATATAATTGGAAATAGGTTTCCCAATTTTTGAAATGTTCTCCACAATGCATATCATTTTGCAACTGCGGAGAAGCTGTGTATTGATGAATTCGTACTTTTATATATTGATTACACTGAGGCACCGAACAACACATCTGCATTGCATCTGATGGTCATTATTACAAACTAAATAAGTCTTCTAACACAATAAACTTCACCAAATTCCTTTCTGTTCGTTAGCAGCGTGATGTAAGCGTGACACGCTGCAAACGCGAATGCCAATTGCGAACAAGAAGAACAAAATCGAAAACATATCAGAATTCATCGTATTGTGACGTAAGCATGAGACATGTGGTGGGGCAAACAAAGAAAGGGCACAAAAGAACAAAAGCAATACTTTCAATATCCTTCTAAGACCTCTTTGGGAAGTGCATATTACGCCTCAAAAAAACATCCTCATGCCTACATTTCTAAAACATCCCAAAACATCCCAGGGATACCTCTCAGTAGGCAAACAAAGAAATGCCACAGAAGAACAAAAACAATACTTCAATATCATTCAAAGAACTCTTTGGTCAGTGCATATTACGTCTCAAAATAACATCTTCATGCCAACATTTTCAAAACATCCCAAAACATCCCAGGGATGTTTGTGCTCGCTGGGTTATCACCGGAAACAGTCCAAGATCGAGAATTTTGAATGAACCCTGTATATATTTTTACGCCAGTCGATAGAGCAAAAAAAACCTTTCAAATGACGTACCACTAGTGGACATTTGTTTTCACAATGGCGCCGCAGGAGACATTTTGTCCAAAATCAATATGTGACGTCATCGGTAAATTTTTTTTCGAGCAACCTGATAGACGACGAACCTCTTATTAGTTTTTGATGATACCTCATTTGAAACATCGCTCATTAGGATTTCATTGTAATTTTTTCAAATGGCATTATTTATCTCTGGAATTTGAATCAAGAGGAAGAATGATATTTCAAAATATTACCTAGAGAAACCCTGAATATTTGCGATAAATAAAAATTCTCACATGTTTCATCAATTTGCTATTCAATTTCTATTGATGATATATCACAGTGTTGCCATATAGATTTTAGATAAAATGTCTCCTGCGTCGCCATTTTGGAAACAGTTATCAACCTTTGTGATATATCATTGACAAAGAATTTTACCGTTCTAACGAATGACCTAAAAATATATAGGGTTCAATAAAACATTCTTGATCTAAGTCTATTTCCGGTGAAACCGTAAGTAATATTCTATTGTTTTTTCATGGAAAATATGAGTTTTAAAGAACTATAACTATATCACCGTACCGAATTTCAAAATTCTAATATGATAAAGAACTGAGTGATGCCCTGTCGAATGATCTAACTATGACCCGGTAGATACGAATCCTCTTTTTTCTTCATGTATTGAGTAACTCTTCTTCAGGTGGTTAACCTCCCTAAAAAATAAGTACTCAATATATGGGAAAAAATGAGGATTAGTACTATACAGGGTGATCCACTTGGGAGATGGGACATCTCCTTAATTTTTTTATTTATCCTCCGATTCTGACAAACTTGTTTTCAATAATTTGAAATCTGAATTCATTTACCTACGACCACTGTATGAAATTGGCAAGAACACACGATACATAGCTTCAGTCATCAGTAACTCATTATATGCACAGTTCGAAATATGCTATTTAACATAATAGTCATACAATCTCAACAAATGAAGATATGACAATGTCATTTGATTGGACTCATTTGAAGAGAGCATGAATATACTTCTTATACGAGGTGTTTTTGAAATGAGTGCACATATTCAGCACATTGATATGATGCAGTCTAAGCAGGAATATTCCCATGATATCAGATTTTTTCTAATTTTTCTAATTAACGAGAAATTTCAGACCCAACAATTGAACAAAATACGGGAAAAAATCAAGTAGGCCTCTATAAAACAATTCAAATGATTGAACTCCGCGTGATTGTGCCTACGGCATGGAAATTTGAAGAGGTGACGTCAGATTTGCTACAGTCACAGAATACCATTGTTGAGTATTCTGTGTTACAGTGTAGAACTTTGGGTGGGAAAAGGAGTCTAACCTCAAATTTTATTTTGATCACTAAATTTATTTTATTAGTGCCATTCGATAGTACGCGTCGAGCTTTCTCAGTTTTTAAAATATTTGCATTTATTTCAATGCCACTCTGTATATTCATCGAAGTTTTAAAATGTAAATAAATACAGTGTATGTCTGAAACAGTCAGTTTTAATAAAAACTTCTGCAAAGACTGAAACCAAGAATGTAAATATCAGATATCGAATTTTTTCAGTCGTATACGAGAGAGGTCAAAAAATCCTAATTTTGTTCGAGAGTAAAGAACCTTCATTTTCGACAATATCAAAAATCATTATGAACAAAAGTTCACTAGGGATGAAACCTACGTTCAAATAAATATTCAATTACATCCATTTACGATGAAATCATGTTTATTATTTTTAGAACTTCTGATCGATTTATATATGGACGCTGTATATGACTGTAGGTAAAGTATATAGTACTTAACGAGTAATATATGGTTCTTACAGCACTTGCTTATCCATTTAGTTCATCAAAATCGAACGATAAAAATTTGCACTGTGGTGGTTTTTTTAGTCAGTCCCCTGTATATTGAGTGAAATTCAAAATCATTCGATCCTCTGTATATTCAGTAGATATTCAAAATAAAAATATACAGGGTGGCCCACGGTCGATGGTACCTTAGACGTATATGGAAAACGGTACATTGGATTATCTTGAAAATTTGGTTACTCTAATAAGCGTTTGTGATCTAACGATTCAAAATATTTTCAGCGAAGCAGCGTTGCCACTTTTACCAAAAAGTAGCACCATCTTTGTTATTTCAAATGGAACACCCTGTATTTTATTGCATTTTCAGTTTCTCCCTGGAGAGCTGATTTCAACAATGTATCACTTGAGGTCTAGCAGAAATGATCACAGAGATATAGGGTTTTCAAAATCGAGATTTTTCAACTTTAGGATTTTTTTGTGTCGAAACTATTCATCATTGGTCAAAACGGCTTACATGTCCCTATATTAACTTTTGATTAACTATCTACCGACATTTAATTGGAAAAAATACAGGATGGTCCAAGATTCAGAATTTTGATCACCCTGTATCTCTTCCAATTAAATGTCAGTAGATAGTGAATCAAAAGTTAAGATAGGAACATGTAAGCCGTTTTGATCGATAATGAAGTTTCGACACAAAAAATTCCTGAAATTGAAAAATCTCGATTTTGAACACCCTATATCTCTGTAATAATTCCTGCTAGACCCCAAGTGTGATGCATTGATGAAATCAGCTCTTCGAGAAGAATCTAAAAACGCAATGAAATACAGGGTGTTGCATTTGAAATAACAAAGATGATGCTACTTTTTGGTAAAAGTGGCAACGCTGTTTCACTGAAAATATTTTGAATCGTTAGATCACAAACGCTTATTAGAGTTACCAAATTTTCAGGATAATCCAATGTAACGTTTTCCGTATACGTCTAAGGTACCATCGACCGTGGGCCACCCTGTATATATTGTACTTACCGTGTGTTAAAATAATAGAAGCTCTTATCAAAATAAGCCATGCAGTGCAAAACTCAAAACAGTGTGAAGTTTTTCTTCAAACCAATATTTGGATTCAGCCCACTCTCAATATACACCCTATATAGTCCAAACATACTGATGTATATCTGATCATTTTCCAAAGGTGATGGAATCAAATAATTTTTTTCGTTTTGCTGCAGCCAATCAGGAACTGTTTGAATTGATAAAATTAGTTGTTATCGTTATTGATGGTTAATAATTAGTTAATTAGGATTTATTAGTTTATCAGTGGGTACCTATTTGAGTGATATAAATTTGAAAAAAAAAATCATAAATATCAAAGGAGTATTAGGGCAAGAGAAAAAAAAAACGAAAAAAAAATTGTTGTTGACTGTTTTATTCTATCCTACTTCCAAATGGCATATCATTATAAAATTTTATCCTGGTTGAAATCAATAATAAAAAATAGATCTAATCACATCACAGAAATAATACCCGAGGAATTAGCACACTTTTTTGTAAAGAAAAAAAAAATAGAACTTCATTTATTATTTCACCGTTATAACATTCACACGGTCGGTATACAGAACTCTTTAATTCAGTTGAATTTTTTTCCATCGCTGGTAAGTTTGTGAAAGATTTTTTCTTTCTATTATCAAAAAAAAATGTGCCATATTCCATGGTCACTCGACAAACACACAAAAAAAACACACTTTAAAATAGATTTCCTCAAAAATGACTTCACGTTACAAATAAAAATCAGTAAAATCTACTAACAGCCCTGAACTGTCATCCTCAAACATTGTTCGCTAATATTTTCCTAATTAAAAGTTGCAACTGTAAATTAGAAGCACATTTACAGTGGCAACACTGAATTAATTTAATTTGCAACTGTTTATTTTATCCTAATTTACAGTTGCAAGTTTGAATCATCCCCTAATTTACAGTGGCAATTGTGAGTTACAGTCACATTTACAGTTGCAATTGTAATTTGTGGCTAAATGTAAATTAGTCCAATTCACAGTTGTAACCGAGAATAGGAGTCAATTTAAATGAAGTTGTCACTTGGAATTAAAAGATTCGAAATGCAATTGACAATTATGAGCTGATTTACAAGTGAAACTGTGAATTAGCTGATTTCATAGTTTCATAGTTGCATTTTCAAAATCGGAGTTAATTTGATCAAGGAATTAAGAAAACAGTTGCAATTATTGTGGAATGTGAGCTGATTTACAAGTGCAACTGTAAATTAGTCCAATTCACAGTTGCAACTGTAAAATGGTAGTTGATTGGATTAGAATTATTGCAACAGCAGATTAAAAGAAAATTTACAGTTGCAACTGTAAATTATGAGCGAATTTACAAGTTAACTTGAAATTATGAGCGAATTCACAAGTGCCACTGTAAATTAGTCCAATTGACAGTTGCAACTGTTGATTGAGAGTTAACTTCATTAGAGTTGCAATAGTAAATTAGAAGAAAACTCAGAGTTGCGACTGTATATAATGAGCGGAGTTACAAGTGAAACTGTGATTTATGAGCGAATTCACAAGTGCTCCTGTAAATTGGTCCAATTGACAGTTGCAACTGTTGATTGAGAGTTAACTTCATTAGAGTTGCAACAGTAAATTAGAAGAAAACTCAGAGTTGCGACTGTATATAATGAGCGGAGTTACAAGTGAAACTTTGATTTATGAGCGAATTCACAAGTGCTCCTGTAAATTGGTCCAATTGACAGTTGCAACTATGAAATAGATAATGATTCAATCAGATTTGCAATAGTAAATCAGAAGAAAATTCACAGTTGCAACTGTTAATTGAGAGTTAACTTAATTAGAGTTGCAGCAGTAAATTATTAGGAGAAAATTCAGAGTTGCGACTGTAAATAATGAGTTATAAGTGAAACTGTGATTTATGAGCGAATTCACAAGTGCTCCTGTAAATTGGTCCAATTGACAGTTGCAACTGTTGATTGAGAGTTAACTTCATTAGAGTTGCAACAGTAAATTAGAAGAAAACTCAGAGTTGCGACTGTATATAATGAGCGGAGTTACAAGTGAAACTGTGATTTATGAGCGAATTCACAAGTGCTCCTGTAAATTGGTCCAATTGACAGTTGCAACTGTTGATTAAGAGTTAACTTCATTAGAGTTGCAACAGTAAATTGGGAGAAAATTCAGAGTTGCGACTGTAAATAATGAGTTATAAGTGAAACTGTGATTTATGAGCGAATTCACAAGTGCTCCTGTAAATTGGTCCAATTGACAGTTGCAACTGTTGATTAAGAGTTAACTTCATTAGAGTTGCAACAGTAAATTGGGAGAAAATTCAGAGTTGCGACTGTAAATAATGAGTTATAAGTGAAACTGTGAATTATGAGCGAATTCACAAGTGCCACTGTAAATTAGTCCAATTGACAGTTGCAACTGTTGATTAAGAGTTAACTTCATTAGAGTTGCAACAGTAAATTGGGAGAAAATTCAGAGTTGCGACTGTAAATAATGAGCGAAGTTACAAGTGAAACTGTGATTTATGAGCGAACTCACAAGTGCTCCTGTAATTTGGTCCAATTGACAGTTGCAACTATGAAATAGATAATGATTCAATCAGATTTGCAATAGTAAATCAGAAGAAAATTCACAGTTGCAACTGTTAATTGAGAGTTAACTTAATTAGAGTTGCAACAGTAAATTATTAGGAGAAAATTCAGAGTTGCGACTGTAACTTATGAGCGAATTCACAAATGAAACTGTAAATTATGAGCGAATTCATAAGTGCTCCTATAAATCAGTCCAATTGACAGTTGCAACTGTGAAATTGAGATTGATTTAGAGTTGCAATAGTAAATCAGAAGAAAATTCGCAATTGCAACAGTAAAGTATGAGCTGATTCACCGTCTACCAACGTTCAAAGTAAAAATATTTCAGTCGCTAAAATCTAAATCAGTCTTGACGTCTTTAGTCTTTCTAGAACTCTTCCTGGTGCCCCCCGTAGACCTAACGCGTCCCCCCTTTTTCGAGGTCGTCCTACTCTCCTTCTTTTCCAATTTTTCCGGCGGTGCCGCCATTTCGGAAAAATCCTCCGGATCGGAAAAGCCGCTTTCCATGAGAAAATCGACAGTTTGCGATCGTCTCACTCCGTCCACGTGATCGATCGTGGCCAATGAGGGCTCCGATTTCGAGGGGGGGACTGTGTAGGGGGGGAATTGGGTGAGAGACTAAAAAGCGTGGAAAATAAAAAAAATAAAAATCGGCGGTTAATGGTGTTAAAAGCAAGCTGTCCAATGAAACTTTATGGTTGCACTATAACATTGAGAAGATTGTACAGGGTCATTCATAAAGTCGGCATCATATGGGAAAAACTTTTATTAATGACTTATTTCGAAATTCGAGTTGGACGTTCAGTTTTGCTTCAGAGAAGATGGCCTACTCAATCGGGATCACGTGACTTTCGCTACATGTCAAAAGTGACATTTTTTCAAATTAATCGCTGAAAGTAGGCTTATTTGTTCGAATATCGAAAAAGTTTACTTGAAAAAGTTTTTTCTATTTAAATTTTACATATGTGACTCGGATTTGATCTTTCTATTACATTTTTTAGATTTCGATATTTTTTTAAAAATTTCGAAATGTCTGTAATATTAAAAAAATTGTAAATTCGATAAAACAACTTCATACCAGTAGTTTCATCATGCTACCAACTTTCAATTACTAATTATCACTAATTATCGACAAAGATATGATTTTCTTCAGAAAATGATAATCTCCGCTTCAAAATTCTGTTATGTGTGATGCAAACATAACATCAAAATTCTGTTATGTTTAAGTCGAGCATTCAGAAACGAAATTCATTTAAATTTATTTTTTCAGTACTGAAAAGATCAGTTTAAATGAATTCGGTTTCTAAATGCTTGACGATATATCAACTTTGCATCAAACATAACAGAATTTGGAAGCGGGTATTATCATTTTCTGAAGAAAATCATATTTCTGTCCATAATCAGTGATAATAAGTAATTGAAAGTAAGTAGCATGAAAAAGCTACTGGTATGAAGTAGTTTCGTGGAATTAACAATTCTCCAAATATTACAGAAATTTCGAAAAAAAAAAAAAAAAACAAAATCTTAAAGTTGCAATAGAATGATCAAATTCGAGAAGCATTGTAAAATTGAAATAGAAACAACTTTTTCAAGTAAACTTTCTCGACATTCGAACAAATAAGCCTACTTTCAGCGATTAATTTGAAAAAATGTCACTTTTGACATGTAGCGAAAGTCACGTGACCCAGATTGAGTAGGCCATTTTTCATCTTTTTTGAAGCAAAACTTAACGTCCAACTCGAATTTCAAAATAAGTCATTAATAAAAGTTTTTCCCATTTGATGCCGACTTTATGAATGACACTGTAGAAAAAAAAAAGACGCATTAAAACAAAGTGCTCAAAGTGTTTCTTTAACCCCTTTGACAATGATTTTCTCATGTAAAAAAAATCAAAAGTGATGATAAAAAATCTCCCAAAAGTGAACTTTCCAGTTTCATTGGTCTTGGTGAAACGCAAAAAAAAAACTGTGAAAAAGGGGATGTGACATTTATTTCTAAGCTGAAGCTTACCTTGAGAGCTGTTTGCATTATGGCAGAAACTCCTTTGGATCCAAGATCCAAAACCTGTTTGTAACTTTGTTCTTTGGCTTTTGTGATGTATTCGTCTATTTCCTGCAAACATATACACAATTTTCAAGTCATCAGTACAGTTGACAATTTCAATTTTCAGAAATAATTTTTTTCGTCGACCCCTACAAAATAGTATATATTCAACAAGCATATAATAATAGCTCATTATTTGCGACTAGAATACTTTACTTTGTCCACGACTACTAGGGTCTTTGATATATCAATTTATTTTCAACAACTGTTTCATCATAACTCATTTGACATTAAGAAAACTAAAAATTGAAGATAACGATAGGCATTTTTCACATCAGTGAATAATAGCGGTGAATATCCATTATTCACTGGTCTAAACTTCCTTATTATGTTATATCGCGTACCCTACGAACTCTAGACCATTATTCCACATGTTTTATGTAGAATAATATCAGATTATACAGGGTGGGCCACCAGTATTGCCTCGGTCTCTAGAAGGCTAACCACTTATCTTCTTGGAATTCTTCCTCTCTAGGAAGTTGCATGTCAACATAGGCTACCATTTAAAATTATTTCGAAACATACAGGGTGTCCCCAAAAATCACAAAACACTGAAGTTGAACTTTTTTCAATCGAACACCCTATATATTATTTCATTTTGAGATTCTCCCTGGTGAGCTGATTTCAACAATCCATCATACTTGGGGTCTAGCAGTTATAATTACTGAGATATAGGGTGTGAGAAATTGAGATTTTCCAAGTTCAAGAATTTTTTGTGTCTAAACCATTTATAATTGGTCAAAACGGCTCACATGTCCCTATCTCAACTTTTGATCAACTATCTACTGACATTTAATTGAAACAAATACAGGGTGGTGCAGAATTCAGAATCTTGATCACCCGGTATATGTCCCAATTAAATATCAGTAGATAGTTAATCAAAAGTTGAGATAGGGACATGTAAGCCGTTTTGACCAATTATGAATAGTTTCGACACAAAAAATTCTTGAACTTGGAAAATCTCGATTTTTCACACCCTATATTTCAGTAATTATAACTGCTAGACCCCAAGTATGATGAGTCGTTGAAATCAGCTCATCAGGGAGAATCTCAAAATGAAATAATATATAGGGTGTTCGATAGAAAAAAGTTTGACTTCAGTGTTTTATGGTTTTTGGGGACACCCTGTATGTTTAGAAATAATTTTAAATGGTAGCCTATGTTGACATGCAACTTCCTAGAGAGGAAGAATTCCAAGAAGATAAGTGGTTAGCCTTCTAGAGACCGAGGCGTTACTGGTGGCCCACCCTGTATATCGAGAGAGTTAAGTGCATGATTTTTCCCGAGGTGGTTTTGTAGGGTGCTACAATTCACTGTGGGAAGAAAGAACTCACTTTCAAGGTTTATATAATATATTTTCAACGACTCGACGATTTTGATTGAAAGAATCTTATGATTAAATCAATTACTGTCAATATGAAAATGAAAATCTGGACACAAAAATCACAAAATCAAGTTTGATTATCATGACTACAGATAAATAAGAGTCAGTGGCGGCTCCTCAGAGGAGGCAACGGAGGCTGAGACTGCTCAGAGATTCTCCTTAAACTGATATAATCTATACTTTCTTATTAAAAGGACACCAAAATGCATGGATTTCAATTTTATTTCCTGTTTTAAGGTAAATATTTTTGAATTGGCAACAGTGCTTGCTCACGCATCACACGTTGAAGTCTGCAAATCACGCGTAAAATATTCAACTTGGCAACATCTATAGGAGGCTAGACTCCTTCACAACTCGCAACCCACGCGCGCAATGCAAATACCCGAATACGCCCGAATAGCACGTGTTTGTCGTGTCGCGTCGCGAATTCCGGACAATCCAGCGCGAGTGCATTGTTTATGTTTATGTTAGATTAATGGTTAGGGGCTCTATAAATTTTTGAAAAATTAGTGTTTTAAACAATTGCGATTTAGTGGAATACTTTTTGGTGAACCCATTCAGTGCTTCGTCTTATGAAGATAAATTGATTGTGAAAAACAAACGTCCGACACCGGAATTAAAAAATCTGATTGTAACGGGTAACAAACAAAATCGTTCGTTCAATTCTGAAAATTATAAAAAATATATCTGGTTGACGGGATCTGAGGTAAGGAATAAGCTATTTTGTTAGTACTGCGTATTATTTTCAACCGATAAGTCATCATGTTGGGGGCGATTGGGATATAATGATTTGAAAAATTTGCCTAGCGGATTGGATAGACACTGCAAATCACAGGAACACATCTCTTCAAGTATTAAGTTCAGGTTAACTGATAAACAGAATGTCATTAAAGCTATTGATTTGGGTGAGTCGTAGAGAGTTGTTTTTCGTAATAAATCTCATATCATTCAGCCTCCTCTGTCATGAAAGTCACGAGCCGCCACTGATAAGAGTAGCCATATTGCTTTTTGTGAACATCGAAAAACTGTGCTAGCATATTTCCTAAATTGCTTTCCTAAGTTTTTTCAATAAATATTGCAGAAATCTGTGAAAAAACTATTGAAGAAGCTGCTGAAACATAGTGGTAGATTCATTGCCAGAAAAATCACGGAAATTTTTTTAGCCTAGAGAGTACCTACTCTGTATACTCTGTATTCCCACTTTTGTCAGTGTAAAATCGCTTATAGGTCGTGCAAATACTGTTTTTTTGATATGTATTGAATATTGTACATTATTATTGTGACTTTTCCCCCCCTGAGATTATTTCAGCGGACGCCCCTGGAGATCGACAAAAAAAAATTAAATATGCGCCTCGGCGAAAAACTGTTTGTTGTCCCGCCCAACTGATAGCCCAGGCGATTGAATTGACAGCTGTCAACTATCATTTGCTGCTGTCAAATTTATTATTTACGAAATCCTATAGTTTTACGTGTGATAAGACCGTGTCGTGTGAATAAAAGTGTTCAAGGTAGAAGACAAAATTAAATTATGCACTGTCTATTGTATCGCCTGATTGCTAGCCTCGGCAGGGCCTCGGCTATCAATTTGCAGGTTCGACTATAATACACAGTTTTTCGTGTTCGACATATAAATAACTATTTTCGGACGTATATAGTACCAACCTGTTCCCTGGAGCTAAGAGTAGGATGTACGAACTTCCTGTACAAAATACTGGAGCCCTTTGTAGCGGGAGATAGCAGCCATATGACTAGTATGATTTTTATTTCGTAATAAAATGGGAACCTGTAACAATAGTAATTTACGTAACAAGTCCGGAAATTACTGTTTTCCTACGAGTGTGCGCAAAGTTGTACTTTACCGCACTCATTTGCGGGCGCAAACTAATACTTTTTCGCACTCAGTGCGGATATGGTGTAAACTACTCAAAAATCTCACTGGTATGGAACATTTATATTCATTTTAGTTGCTGTATTTTGTTTTCTTCCCGATATTTGTATTTCACCTCAAAACAAAAAAATAATCTCACGGTTTCAAAGGAGAATACCTTGTAATAGTTATTTATGTAATAAGGTTCATAAAGACGATCATTATGGTACAAGTCGTGAATGTTATCGGGCGAGGCGTAGCCGAGTCCGATAACACGGCGTGTGCCATAATGATTACTTATGATTCGTATTACATACAAAATTTTATCTGATGGCATTTATATCAATACATTTTCGAAAAATTAAAAACTGCATTTTCGACATGTCACAATGACAACTATTTTTAAAGGAGTAAGTATTGTGTAGTTTCAAATATTAGTAGGTGAGTGAGCTGTGCTTTGCCATTATATTAATATCACAAATTGTAGTAATTGTTCTTTTACCATTTATAATAAATAGTTTTGTACATAGTTATGCATTTTGAATAAACTTTTTTGATCAAACCATTACATGTTTTCCTTATAGAATTTCATTATGGTACTTAGTACCATAATGAATTCATTATGGTACTTAGTCCCATAATGAGCTTCCTTATGTCATCAAAATTGAGTGACATAACGTTGTCATTATGACATGCCATCAGATAAAATGATATATATTATGATTAAATATAATATTGTCAAGCAACATCAAGTGCACTTGTCAACTTAGACATGATGTCAGATTTTTACTCAGTTTCTGTCAGCAAAAATCTAGAAACACCCCGTCACTTCATCATTTTTTTTTTTCATTTTCATCTGAAATGAAGCTCGTAGGAAAAACGTTGTTCCTAACACGTGCGCAAAGTGTCTTTTCCGCACGCAAATACAGTTAGGCGAACGACGCGGAGCGGGAAAGTAACGCTTTGCACATTTGTTAGGAAAATAACAATTTTTTGAACAAGTAGACAAAATTCAAGGCCGAGCCGTAGGCGATTTATCAAAACTATCAAAACCATATCTACCAAGATTTTCATAGTGTCAAAGTGAGCACTTCCCGGACGGTTGCCGAAAAAATCATTTTGTAAGAATATTTTTACTAACATACTGTAAACTTGAACTTACCAACTGAGAAATACGTCTGTGAAAGTTTCTATGCAGGTAAAGAGGGCAAAAACTATCCAGTACATCATCCATTTTACCTGTGAAAGTGAAATATAATAGATATTCATGCACATTATTGCCTGGATTCGCGGGAGTAAAGTATCACTTTAGCGGCCATTTTGAGAATTTTCAAAATATTCGTGTTCAAGAAGAAATTCCCGGATATTAATTGAAGCTAAAGTGGTATTCGGTAAGAAAATTTCACACTGAAATATTATATTGCAAATATACCAACATAATATTATATGGTAAACTGTTGATTAATGATTTTTTTCTGCAACCGACACAAAAGTCGTCCATTTTGATATCAAAATTAGCTCTTAAATTTATGTTTCTATTACTGACAAAAATAGGTACTTGCTAGGCAACATATTTAGTTCCTAGGAGCTAAAGTTGAATTTTAGTTCCTAGGAGCTGAAGTTGAACTTTAGCTCCTAGGAACTAAAATGGATCTACTGGACGTCATCAAGAATAAACAACATTGTGACGGTTTTGGTTATTTGGGTTGAGACGCATACCTGATTTGTTTCCGATTTCAGCAGATTTGGCATTTCATACCCATTCTGGAGATATAAATACACCTTATTATAGTTCAGTATTGGAATTATCAACATCTCAGTTAAGTATTTTTGTTGTGATCAGGGAAGCCTTCAAGATTCAAATACTTGCTTGATCTGTATTTCATTCGTTATTCTCGGGATGGATAACTTGTTTTTGATTAATCACGGCAAGCAATAGTTTTTTTTGTCTCAAACAACGATATTGTTTAGCTTCATTTGATTATTAAGTCAAACACAGTGCAGTATGGAAAGGAATAAATAATCACTATTATTATTGTTGATATGCTCACTAACCTAACATTTTCCACGTCTTGTTCCTATAGCTGAAACTGGCGCGGTATTTGCCATTAGGGCACCTGGTCCATACACAAATATATCACTCTGTGGTTGTATTTATATTGAAACTACAATTCGAACATCCTTGAACATTGAATGAACCTGCTGTTAATGCAGGTAGACTATTCTCACCACATGGATTATTTATCAATATTTGTTGCATTGCATACATATGGCACGGCATTGGTGGTTACGTCACATATTCATTTGACTTGATTGTTTCGGTTGCAGAAAAAATAGCATGTTTCATTCGGATCAAAAGTGACTTTGTTCGACTAGCATATTTTGCTTTCTCTCGGCTTCGCTAAACGCTCCGCCTCGCAAATGCAAAATTCGCTTGCCAAACAAAGTGTCACTTTTGATCCTAATAAAACAATCTACTATTATTTATTGACTTATAGAATGAACTAGAAATAATCTGAAGTTGAATGTAAATGTCATTCAACCTATAAACGTCAAAAAATGTCCAGTGTAATTTCATGCTCCGTCCCCAAGGAGGAGGAATAAATTTCTGAGAAATTTCTTTAGTTGCTATGGCAACGATACGAAATACAGGCTTCAAATTGATCGAAAATTTTCATTAAAATGAATGGACTTACGTATTCCTTGACGTTTTTGGTTCTCACAGCCTTATAGGAAGCATAAGCGGGATACAGGGTACCAAACAACAATCTGAAAATGGGATAAAGAACCAGATGAGTCACAGCTTTGTGACAGAAAAAAGCTAAACCAGTCGAAAATAGTCCCAAATGAAAGAGACACGGTTTGACAGCACCAAAAAAACCGGACATATTTTGAAAACCGAATGGATAACAAAGAACTAAATGACGGTTTCTTTGTCGATCGTGGTCAAGTGAATATAAGATAGTGTCTTCAGAGTGCAATGCACTTACAGAACTAATCTATTTTCGGTGTTTCATGTTCTTCCTGTATACACTGGAGTGATTCTTGTACGTGTACGATTAAATTTAGATGCTTTTTCATCGTAATGGTCATGCTAGTTGTTAGTTGAGTTGTTAACTGTGCCGATCTCACTGTGCCCAACATAAGCTTGTCAGGAGTAACCATACCTTTGAAGACATCCATTTCGACGCTTGGTATTACTATTTACCATTATTTACTATCAGCAATAACCTTTCTTGGGAAAATCACGTGAGATCAATTGCTAAAAGTGCATCCCAAAAACTTGGTTTTCTGTTTCGGGCTAGGAGCTATTTCACTTCCAGTCAGCTGCTTATGATCTATAAGGCACAGATCCGGCCTGTCCTGGAATACTGTTCCCATATTTGGAGTGCAGCACCCAAACATACCCTGAAACTGTTGGATTCTGTCCAAAAAAGGGCAATTCGTCTCGTGGGTGATGCCTCGCCCACAAACTCACTCACTTCTCTGGAACACCGTAGAAAAGTTGGCGATCTGGCTCTGTTTTATAGATATTTTCATGGACGATTCTCTTCTGAAATATCAACAATTGTTCCTCCCTTGGCAGTTCCCGCGAGATTAACCCGTCGAGTTGAGGCTTCGCACCCCTTCGTGGTCACTTTGGAGCCCTGCAGAACATCTCTTTCCAAAGACTCGTTCACTCAACGAACACCGAGGCTCTGGAACACATTGCCAAGGGAGGTGTTCCCCGAGGCATATAACCTCCAGAATTTTAAGAAGAACACCAATTCCTACCTTATTTCCCTTGGTTCTCACGATGTTCTCTGAACATTACAGGATATCCGTTTTTGTGAGAACCAGAACATAAAAATAAATTTTGTACAGGGTGGCTGGAATTTGAGACTCATCATTGGGATCTCGTTAACCGTAAAAGATACAGGGTCGGTTAAATTAGTGCAAAGTAAAAGAAACCTAAAGGATTCCGAATTTTTCCGGATTTATACGAAAAAACCGAAATTTCCTGAAACCCTATTTATTTTACTCGTTATTTGAAAAAATTAATGATGGGTATGAATGACACTTGGTCATCACTACTTTTCATTCCCTACAAGCTGGCGTTTCCAAATTAGAAATCCGACGTTTCGTCTTCTAGAAACCACCATCAACTTATTTTTTCATACAGGGTGTATCTGAATAACTCCGAAAAAATTCAAGGGATGATTCCTTGTGATATTTTAGGAAATAAAGTTCAAAAGAACTTTTGTCGTTCGGGAGAGAAATTATTTTTTTATTCATTACTCAATTGTCTTTTCATCAATTTCATTAAAACGTTGTGGTTTTGTAAGTAATATGATAGTAATATGGAGCTTCTTTTGGTGCAATTCGAGGTGCGATTAGATTCGTGATAATATCTCCAGTGGCGGGAAAAAACTTTGGCATTTCATCTCTGTTGGCAGGTTATGAAATGTCACTTTTCATAAATATTTTTTTTCCCGTGGGAAAAAAGTGAGTACTTTTTTCCCGGATATATATCACATATACATATACACTGTTGATGACTTTTGTTGTGCTATAGTTCCGAAAAATGAGTCAATAATACCGTCTCCGAGAAAGAACTGCAAGTCCTTTCATCTTCCATTCGACTTCGCGGTTATTACGTATATTACTAAACAGCCACTAAATTCGCAATTTTTTTAAATCAAATCACATAATTAGACTGACAGAAGTGACATCAGATATTTAATTAATTCAAAAGAATGATAAAGATGCCTACAACGCAGGTGTCCCTACTGTTAAAAACTTAAAATTTCACGTCGATAATTTTCAGATTTCAAAATAATGTAATATCTTCTCAATATTGATTCATCCTTTCTTCTGTCACAGAGAAAAAGAGTGTATTATACACAGGAAAAATATTAGATTTTATCTCACGGTTTTTCTCGAGGTTTTTCTACTACTACTTTTTTCCCTTTTTTTATTATTATGAATTGTTGGAATAATATTTGATGGAAACTGCGATTTCTATCAAAAGCACTAATGAAAACTACCCTTAAGAATTTGAAAAAACTTCTTCTGACAGTTGTGACAACTATTCAAAGCTGAACACAAAAAATAAACTCTCAATATGGAACCTAAAGTTTATTTCAAGTGCCCAATATGGATGTGTCATGCTGAAATGAGTATACATACCTACCTACCCATAGTTATTTTCATCACAAAACTCAGTACCTACTCAACCTTACAAATAAATCACAATGACTTGGCCATTCCAGTGAATGGTAAATCGAATTTGGGGTTTTTCTGGGTGAGACATTTCACCAAAATGAAAAATTCGTAGATTTTGCACTAATATTTGAAAGACACAAAACCTCAGAACGGAGATCACACACTATTCTTTGGCAAGCAGAATTGTATCGCAGTATTTTTAGATGTTGGTATCATATTATTCAGTGTTCAGACAAGTTTCTAAACAATAAGTTCGATCGTTTACTATTTGGCTCTTGTAAACTTCTGGCATGGTCTGGCAAATATCATCAAAAACATTGGAAGGCAATTAAAAATATTTGATGTAAATACGAACTAGGTAGTTTTAGTTTAATCCTTCCAGCAGATGGGAAACTCTTCCATGTATGGTCAGATTGTCAGAACCAGTCTATAAATGGATTTGTTAATGTTTGCCATGATTGGAAATGACACAAAATGCCTTCAAAGATCCCGCATCAACTGTTTCATTGATACTAATGATACCTACTTTTACATTCACTTTCTTTGTTGTTTGTTGCGTTGCCAATATTCCAATTTGAATTTGTGCCTCCTGACATGGTGATATTTTTAGATGATCAGATGAAGATTCTTAATGCAACTGTTTTAAGAAACTGCATTATTTTGAACACTCCGTAAAACCTAAATACTTTAGATGACTGCACATTGATAATAACGTAAAGGGCAACACTTTTTGCTTCTTTTTTTGTATGAAACTCTGTTTTATTTATGCCTATTTCCGTATTTCTTTGTTGGTGTTTTGTAATACGAAAAAATAACCTAATTTATGAATGGTAAAACGTTTACTAATTACTTACATGACCAATCTGGATAATATCGAGGAAATCATTGTGAGCACTTGAATTAATACGCCACTTTTTTGAAGTTTAAAATATCAAAATAAACAAAAATTTGTACGCAATCAGCTGAACATAATCATTGGATCTTGGATCAGATCATTGTGCCAACCACCAACAGCGTTGCCACACAAAATGTACTAGAAAATCTCCGAAAAACGTACTGGTACTAATTTTTCGAGAAAGGTACTAAGTACTGAGGATTCTCATTCAAACTTCCTACTTAGAGTATGGATATGAGGGGAAAGGGGGACAGATAAGGAACGCCATTAAACTGAATATTGTGAATATCTTATTTGTCATTAGTCAAAACGTCGGTCAACTCAAAATACAACTGTAAATCATCATTCGTCATTTATTCAATTTTTTTTTCAAATTCATAACTTTGAGCGACGTGAACACAATTGACAAATGACAATTGACATGTAATATATATGTACTACCGTTGATTAATATATTACGCTTATAAGCGTAATATAACAATCAACAGTACTGCATAGTACAGAAAGAACTAAATGCAACTATTCAAGGATGGAAAACAATAATGACATATCGGGGATATTGCAGATCACACTCTTCTTTTGTTCATTTCGGCAATGTCGATATATCAAGTACTAACGTACTAGATAGAGTGAAAAGGTACTAGATCTAATACTAAAGTACTAGGTCTGGCAACGCTGACTACAAACCACTGCCAGTGTTGCCAACTCAGATTTCCAAATGTCGCAAATTAAATTGGCCACCTGAAAAACACTGAAAACCACCAAAATGCGCCGCACGCGAAAATGTTCGCAAATCTTGTGATTTTCTGGTAGTTTCAACTTGAGTTCAGATCACTAGATAACACCAGACTGAAAAATCAGATCAGGTGAGAAGTGAGAAGTTTTTTTAACAGAAAACAAAACGAAGAGAATAAATTATTCATAAAATCAATGCCATACTAGAGTATATTATGTTAAATATAAAACAAGAAATGAAAAACAACATTTGAGATCCTACAAAACGTCCAAAGTTAGACAACTGAACTGATTTCAGTTAAAACTTTTTTTTATAAAAACTTTTCTCTAGTACCACATTGTTAAAATTAAAATATCATATAAACACCATCCACTAGATGCCATATTTTGTCAAAGAATAGTAGGTTAGTCACCTCTCCTCTTTGATTTTTTCACTAAACGAAAACTCAAACCACAGTTCCAGTGTCAAATCCGCTAAGTTGGCAACACTGAACAATGCACTAACGTCACAATGTCACAATGATGGGAATAAGTAGATGGTGTGCTTACTGATGCGCTTCTGTTTCAGGAAATCAGAAATTCTTCCCGACCCCTTGAGAACAATGGATATGTTTTAATTATGCTAAGCAATGTGCCATCTGACGGCATATATCACGTGATCATCAAGTGTGATCATTTGGTAGTAGTATTGAAGGTTATAATAATTGTGTGTGACTGATTATTATATGATTATTTGTTTATACAACTGAATATGGTAGAAACATATTTTCCGAGTCGTTTTTTCTGACAAAATTTGTATTTTGACATATCACACTTGGCGTCAGAAAATATAATTTTTGACAGAATGACAGCGTGGGCAAATGAAGGTTAAAATCCCAATGATTTTCTGAATATTCTAGACAATTCTGTCGCTTCACATTGTTCCCAAAATTGTGTTGCCGTGCAACACCAGAGGTAACTTATCTCTGGCAACACCACGAGTCCGTCTGGGCAAGTGGTATTACTTTCTCTACGGCAACACTATTTGTGTTAAGGGAAGACGAAATTATGGAAAGATATTCAGAACAGAGTGATATTTTGCTAGACTATTTCACGGAGCATCAATTATAAATAATGAACAAGCCACATAACCAAAGCGATACATTCTGATCTCTATAGCTATAACTATTTCATGTCAAACTGACAGACTTTTCTTTGCTACTCATGGTTACATCGTTGAAAACACCAACGCTGATATGGACCATGGTTTGTGATTGGTCGGATTATGTGAGAATTATAATATACATCGCTATTCATGACAAACATAAATGCATTAAATATAACAAGAAACAGGAACGGAAAACACATGCGCGGTCGATGGTTTCTGGTCTAGATTCCTCTTGTGTACAATTTTCCCGTTGGTCTCAATTGTTCGATTTATAACATGGTACCTGTCGTGTCTCCATCAAGACACAATGATGACTACCAAAAAATTGTCTATGATATCGCCTTCCATAACAAATATAAAATTTTTAGGAAATATTCGGAATATTGGGTTACTCATCATCGCTCGCTGGTTTTTTGTCTGGTTTCCTCTCTTTCTGTCATTTCTTTGTTGAGCTCAAATGATCAATTCATAACACGTTCTTTCTTCAATCTAAAACGTAGTCAGTATTAGATTTAGATTATTAAATAAATTGGGAATATAAATTATGAGAGTTACATGGAATTGGCTACTGGGATTTTTACGAAAACTGTTTCCAAATTCCGTTGCTGAAATGCGACATATTCTATAAGCCAAAAAATGACCGGAACCGATAGCCAACAATTTTCTCCAAAATGAAAGATACTGTATATACCTAACCCATAAGCCGCCTACCTCGATTGCAAAGAGGGTTTACCGACAACAAGGGTTGATACTCTCCCCTCGTAAGGGTACCTGTCGTGTCTCCATCAAGACATAAAGATGACTACCTCAAAATTTTCTATGATATATCGCCTTCCATAACAAATATATTAAATTTTGAACAAATATTCGGAATATATTGAATATAATACGATACAGAATTGAGTTACTCATCATCGATCGCTGGTTTCTATTCTGATTTCCTTTTTGTCTGTCATTTCTCCGTTAGGCTCAAATGGTCGATTCATATCACGTTATTGTTTCTTCGATCTAAAACAAAGGGGGGTAATAGATTTCGATTATTGAATGAATTGGGAATTCGAAATATAAGTTACTCATCATCTATCGCTGGTTTCTGCTCTAATTTCCTTTCTGTCTGTCATGTCTCCGTTGGGCTCAAATTGTCGATTCATAACACTTTATTGTTTTTTCGATCTAAAACATAGGGATTATTAGATTTCGATTATTGAATAACTTGGGAATTTAAATTATGAGAGTTACATGGAATTGGCAACTGAAATAATCACGAAAACTGTTTCCAAATTCCGTTGCTGGAATGCGACATATTCTATAAGCCAAAAAATGACCGGAACCGATAGCCAACAATTTTCTCCTAAATGAAAGATACTGTATATACCTAACCCATAAGCCGCCTACCTCGGTTGCAAAGAGGGTTTACCGACGACAAGGGTTGATACTCTCCCCTCGTAAGGGTACCTGTCGTGTCTCCATTGAGACATAAAGATGACTACCGCAAAATTTTCTATGATATATCGCCTTCCATAACAAATATATTGAATTTTGAAGAGATATTCGGAATATATTGAATGTAATACGATACAGAATTGAGTTACTCATCATCGATCGCTGGTGTCTGGTCTGATTTCCTTTTTGTCTGTCATTCCTCCGTTGGGCTCAGATGGTCGATTCATAACACGTTATTGCTTCTCCGATCTAAAACATAGAGGGTATTAGATTTCGATTATTGAATAACTTGGGAATTCAAATTATGAGTTACTCCTCATCGATCGCTGGTTTCTGGTCTGATTTCCTTTTTGTCTGTTATTTCTCCGTTGGGCTCAAATGGTCGATTCATAACACGTTATTGTTTCTTCGATCTAAAACAAAGGGGTATCAGATTTCGATTATTTAATAACTTGGGAATTTAAATTATGAGAGTTACATGGAATTGGAAACTGAAATAATCACGAAAACTGTTTCCAAATTCCGTTGCTGAAATGCGACATATTCTATAAGCCAAAAAATGACCGGAACCGATAGCCAACAATTTTCTCCTAACTGAAAGATACTGTATATACCTAACCCATAAGCCGCCTACCTCGGTTGCAAAGAGGGTTTACCGACGACAAGGGTTGATACTCTCCCCTCGTGAGGGTACCTGTCGTGTCTCCATCAAGACATAAAGATGACCACCGCAAAATGTTCTAGGATATATCGCCTTCCATAACAAATGTATTGAATTTTGAAGAAATATTCGGAATATATTGAATATAATACGATACAGAAATGAGTTACTCATCATCGATCGCTGGTTTCTGGTCCGATTTCCTTTTTGTGTTTGTCATTTCTCTGTTAGGCTCAAATGGTCGATTCATATCACGTTATTGTTTCTTCGATCTAAAACAAAGGGTGTATTAGGTTTCGATTATTGAATAACTTGGGAATTCAAATTATGAGTTACTCCTCATCGATCGCTGGTTTCTGGTCTGATTTCCTTTTTGTCTGTTATTTCTCCGTTGGGCTCAAATGGTCGATTCATATCACGTTATTATTGTTTCTTCGATCTAAAACAAAGGGGGGTATTAGATTTCGATTATTGAATAACTTGGGAATTCGAATTATGAGTTACATGGAATTAGAAACTGAAATAATCACGGAAACTGTTTCCAAATTCCGTTGCTGAAATGCGACATATTCTATAAGCCAAAAAATGACCGGAACCGATAGCCAACAATTTTCTCCTAAATGAAAGATACTGTATATACCTAACCCATAAGCCGCCTACCTCGGTTGCAAAGAGGGTTTACCGACGACGAGGGTTGATACTCTCCCCTCGTAAGGGTACCTGTCGTGTCTCCATCAAGACATAAAGATGACTACCGCAAAATTTTCTATGATATATCGCCTTCCATAACAAATGTATTGAATTTTGAAGAAATATTCGGAATATATTGAATATAATACGATACAGAATTGAGTTACTCATCATCGATCGCTGGTTTCTATTCTGATTTCCTTTTTGTCTGTCATTTCTCCGTTGGGCTCAAATGGTCGATTCATATCACGTTATTGTTTCTTCGATCTGAAACAAAGGGGGTATTAGATTTCGATTATTGAATAACTTGGGAATTCAAATTATGAGTTACTCATCATCGATCGCTGGTTTCTGGTCTGATTTCCTTTGTGTCTGTCATTTCTTCGTTAGGCTCAAATGGTCGATTCATATCACGTTATTGTT